GTCACAGAATCGCGCGTAGTTAACTTTGAGAAATTTTCGGTCGGGTGTTTTTTGTGCGCTTCTAACTCAGTATGGTGAAGATGACCCTGTCCTGTCTGTTTTAAAGCCTTAGTGCTGGTATTAATATAATGTCGTCAAACCATCTGATTTCAGGTCCAGGCTACAGGAAAAGAACCTTATCTGCAGGATTTTTACAGTTTTTAAAGTCAGTTTTCAGAGAATCGAATATTTTAAGGAGTTTTGTGTTAAAGGTTACCTCTTAGTCCTTTTTAAGAATTCTCTAAAGAGTAAAAAAAAATCAACCTTCTTTTTCAAGAGCTTCTCTAGTTTCCAAGAAACAGAGTCAAGAAAAAAAACTATCAGTGAAAAGAAACACTGAGAACAAACATGAGGTAAAATAATACAGTGATATGATTCTAGAGGTCGACTGAAAGTCCAGACAAAGCTGAGCTGTTTGACTTTTCTCCACACATGATCTTTTCTTAGTGACTGTGCTCTATCTTTCAGTTTCACAACCTCTCAGGAGACGGACGGCTGAAACGCTCGCTGTGATTGAGAAAGTCTTTGTGAGCAAAGTTGACACGCCAGCTCTTTATAAGGCCAGCACACACTTGGCTTCCTGCTCCGCTCTGTTGTCTGTTTCCACGGTGAATGTTGGTGTTTTTCATCCATCCTGAAGGGTTTAACACAAACCGTGTGTCACTGAAGGTGAATCTCATAAAACCTGTTCCATAACAAGGTTGATTGAAAATGTTCGGACTCTTTGATTGTGAGGATTTTATTTAAAAAGTGAGTCTGAAATAAGAGACGGATAAAAACATCCAGAGACCAGTTTCTGTGCAGCATTCACAGATCTGCAGTAACGTGGACCTCCACCTTCAGACCGTCTCATATCAAAGATTCATCTTTCTATAACCAACGTTGTTCTTCCCCACGACCACAAGGTGCTGCAGCAGTTTTTAAGTTTCTGGGTCCGAATACAACAAACTGGATTAGAGGGCGCCCTTTTACTGCGTGTAATCGAGGGCTGCACCTAACGACGATTTTAATAGTCGACTAATCACCGACTATTGAAATGATTTAGAGAATTTCCCAGTTTGGGATCAATAAAGTGTATCTATCTATCTATCTGATTAGTCGACTAATCGGATTTACATTCAAGCCAATACGTTTACTTTGTGACGTCTCATGTCTGCTTGTTACGAAGTGAATATCTTACCGAGGTTTAGTCGAACTCTTCATCCAACATTACGATGTTCCTTCTCCTCAAATGTTCGTGCATCGGGGCTAAAGTACTCCCAAACTTTAAAGTTGTTGTCATCACGTACTCGTAGCTGCTGTATGTGACGCCTGCGCCGCCATGTTTGAATACCCGACCGCTCGGCGGAGATGCTATCACACATGTCTGACTCTACGCAGAGATGGTAATGAAGTAAGATGCCTCACTCTGCTGGAAAAAACACATCTGGTGACAACAGTCGACAATCGAATTCAATGTCAACTTTTTTCATTCTTGATTTTTTTCAACACTGTTGACTAATCGGTGCAGCCCGAGTGTAATCCTCACCTCTCTACTCCTCACACTTCTTGTCTTCAGCAGCACTGTATCTAGAACAGACGCCGTCTGTCTCCTCGCTGGGTGAAACCACTCCGAGAACAGTGCCCTCTGGTGACGGGCTGCAGTATAGGTCCTAAACCCCGCCTCCTTATGGAGCTGTGGACAAACTTTATAAATGAATGACACAGAATATAAATGTTTCTCCCCCCTGGTTGTGATGTTGACATGTAGTTACTGTCAGACTGGTTTGTGCTCAAGTCCTCTTTTTTCTGTACAGCTCCATTTTTAAAAGTTATTAGGGGTTTATGTTTGCTATGATTGACACCTGATACAGCCTATGGGAGGACAGAGATTGAGTAGATCATCGGGGGGGATACGCTGTTTGAGCCGAGCGTCATCACTGCGACTCTCCTGCTGAATGCGAACAACACTACTGCGCAATGTTGGTTTCAGGAAGTGGAGAAAAAACGCAGAAATACAGAAGAACTTTTTGGCTTCAAATTTGTATAATAATGGAAAGCAGAACCAAGTTGTCCGTAGTTTATAGACGGTCTATGTTTACATCTAAAATCCTCGTATCAAAACCGGTGATTCTGGTGAAGATGTAATGGACTTTTAAAAATGAACCCAGTGATGAAGTCCTGAAAAACGGACGTTCTCTCAGAGTCCTCCTGGGAGCAGAATCGGTCTCTGTACCTCGTTTCTCCAACTGTATTAATGAGTTTTGATGTTAATGAGGCACAAAGTTATTCATGGTTTAAAGCGTGACTGAACTGACGGACAGATGAAAACATTTTTGGTTTATTTGGTCTGTTCTGGCTTTGGCCTTTTTTAGACTGGCGGATAGTTGGATCGTTTCCAATATGGCGACCTCCTTCATCAGGCTCCAAAAGGCTTCATCAGAACGCAGAGGGGGAGGTCACTGATGGTCGGTCTATGGTTCAGACCAGAGTCTATGTTTCACAGAGGTAGAAGAAGCATCAAGTAAGGAAACCTGTTTCCTGCTGTAATCTGTACATCATCTTTTCAGAGACAGAACAAGATGAAATGTTGCGTAAGTGTTTCCATCCAGCCTGAACTTCCTCGTCTCCTTCCTCCACAGATGTCTGTGTAGAAACCTTCCTTCATTGTATCTCACAGGGATCATTAACCAGCTCTCCTCGGTGTGGAGAGATCTCATACAGAGTTATTCAAACACCTTGACCAATGTCGGAGCACAAAGGCCGTCTTTGTGTCCGTGACATAAGAGCTTTGCAGACTTGGAGTAAACAAACACAGCAATAAGGTCCACGTGTTCCCGCATGAGTACGTTCATCAGGCCACCCCGCACGTTTTACTAAGCTGGGTTACAGCGACGGATGATCAGGAACATTTCAAACAACTGACGACTATGAACTGATCAGCACTTCCTGCTGGAGAGCGAGATGTTGAATGAAAGCCGGACAAAGAAACGTGTCTGCCAGGATTTAGGTTTACTGATGTTTAATGCAGCCGGAAACTTGAAGAAACGCTGTCTACGTTGAATTTTTATCCACTTACTGATTAATGCACCGCATACTTCAGATTTTAGAGCTTTCCAGCAGCTCAGGAACATGCAACTCTTTAACCCCCTTCTAACACTGGAGGGTCTTTGTGCGACTGCAAACGCTGAGAGCTTTGTGACGCGGCAGCTTCAGCTGATTGTGGAAAAACGAAGGAAAAAGACTCAGATTGATGTGGTTCGGTTTTTAATTCACCCGCAGGTTAAACGGTCTGACCACGTAGGTTGATGATCCCCCCGTGGCTGCTCAGACAGACGGCAATTATATCAGTCCATTTTACGGTTTTATTAACTGTAACACAAAATCAGGAAAATTCCTCACCAATAGACTTGGTTGGAGCTGATTTTTTTAAGTTTTTGTAGAAAATCCTCCCAGTATGAACTTCCTGAGGTCAAGAGTGTCGTTCAGTGGTCAGGTAGGGCTGCACGAAAAATAAAATCCTAATTTTTTTCTCGGAAAACTCGATTTTCAATTTTTTATTCAGTGACAACTTCACCAAACTTCACTTTAATAAAGTTTTTCTATCGTGTCTCATAAATTAAACCACTGAAGTACGACGTAGTTCATATGCCAAGCCAGTAAGTGGCGCTGTAACGCTGCTCAGGAAACACACAAAAGACAGAAGAAGAGTACAGAGCATGTGTATAAAGGTTGTTTTTGGCGCCATAAAAGAGTTACTCTGTGTGTCACATGATCGTTTCCAGAGATGCAGATAGACATCCACACGGAGATGAAATGGTCGTCGTTTACAGATTTATTCACTCTCTGACCCGTTTTCAAAAAGTACCGTTTACAGTCACCTGAAACGCCGTTTCCATGTGGATGAAACGCCGATAGGGGCCTTAGGGAGATTTTAGGGTGTATTCGTTCACTTTTGTCTAAAAGTGCCAAATTTGGCACAGGTGTAGCTCAGGGCATACTTAAATGATTTGGCCAGGGCGCCTGCGCCGGTGACCTTTGGGGTCACCACAGCGGCTGATCCAATATGGCCACCTCCTGAACACGCTTTTGTCTCTAACATTTGAACCAGATGAGCTACAAATGTAAACTTGGTGTCTATTTCATGTTTTGCACATATATTTTCACACAGATAGAATGTAAAATTGTATCTTACAGATATATTTCATTGTGACATTAGTAAAAGTAGAGAAACTCAGTGTTACCCCCCCTTCCCGTAATAATATAGGTGTGTGTGTTTTACCAGGAACAGAAACAGAAATTTGAAATTCTTGCGAGGTTAGTTACTCAAGCGTCAGATGCAGCAGATGTATACTATCATACCAAATCTTATCTGAACTTGAGATATGCAGCACAAGTTGCACAAGATAAAACATCTTCCAGCACATCAGAAGTGTCTTCCAGTGAATCCAGGGAAACCTTTGACCCTCTGACTATAGCGCAAGTATTTGCCCTAGTTGAGGATTCAGATTGCTCCTTCACAATTTCAAATTTAAGGCACCTCTATAGAACCCTTATGAATGAACGGAGGCATGTCTGTTGTTACAATGAACCTCACACAACAAGGTTCAAGACACATCTCCTCTCTTTGCTGCCTGACTGGAGTGAACGCCAGAACGGGAGGGAGACGTACTGTATATTGCAAGTAAGCAAAAAGTGGCAGACAGTGTAGCTAGAGGCCATGTTTCCAACCAGAATAGCAAAACGCCACTTGGAAATATGCAAATTAGGGGTCCAGACACACCCAAAAATAAAAAAGAGCATTCCAACACATTTCTAATTGTTAAAACACATGAAATAGACACCAAGTTTACATTTGTAGCTCATCTGGTTCAAATGTTAGAGACAAAAGCTAGTACAAGTGGCGGCCATATTGGATCGGCCGCTGTGGCGACCCCAAAGGTCACCGGCGCGGGCGCCCTAGCTAAATCATTTAAGTATGCCATGAGCTACACCTGTGCCAAATTTGGCACTTCTAGACAAAAGTGAACGAAAATATCCCTTTTAGGGTGGATTCGTTCACTTTTGTCTAAAAGCGCCAAATTTGGCACAGGTGTAGCTTAGCTGATCCAATATGGCCGCCACCTGAACACGCTTTTGCCTCTACATTTGAACCAGATGAGCTACAAATCCAAACTTGGTGTCTATTTCATGTTTTTTGACAGGTAGAAATATGATGGAAATATCATCTTTATGATTGGGTGTGTCTGGACACCTAATTAGCATATTTCCAAGATGGCAGTTATGTAAAAATTAGGTGTACCTGAACTTTTGATACTTTTGTCAAACTATTTTAGGTTCTTTGAGCATCAGAAACATACTGGAATGATCCGATTTATGATTTAATATATCTAAAGCACTTTAATTTCCATATTAACAACATAGCCATTAACCACCAAAATGTATGGCACATATATTTTCACACAGATAGAATGTAAAATTGTATCTTACAGATATATTTCATTGTGACATTAGTAAAAGTAGAGAAACTCAGTGTTACCCCCCCCCCCCCCCCGTTCCCGTAATAATATAGGTGTGTGTGTTTTACCAGGAACAGAAACAGAAATTTGAAATTCTTGGGAGGTTAGTTACTCAAGCGTCAGATGCAGCAGATGTATACTATCATACCAAATCTTATCTGAACTTGAGATATGCAGCACAAGTTGCACAAGATAAAACATCTTCCAGCACATCAGAAGTGTCTTCCAGTGAATCCAGGGAAACATTTGACCCTCTGACTATAGCGCAAATATTTGCCCTAGTTGAGGATTCAGATTGCTCCGTCACAATTTCAAATTTAAGGCACCTCTATAGAACCCTTATGAATGAACGGAGGCCCTGAGCTACACCTGTGCCAAATTTGGCACTTCTAGACAAAAGTGAATGAAAATATCCCTAAGGCCCCCCACTACTGAGTTTGTTTCCATGGTGACGGGTTGATACCGCCTTCAGACAGACTTTACAGCGGGGAGTGGTTTACTCTTCATCTGAAACTGTGAAGTCGTACCAATTCAACACGGCCGACTCGCTCTTGTCCTATTTAACCATGAAATTATCGCCTTCTTTTGCAAACGCCATGAGCCTACGGTGGCCTGGAGGCGTGAGACATGATAGAGAGGGACATTTTTTAACATCGTCATTGTCAAATAATCCAATTACAATTCAAAATCAATTAACCGTGCAGCCCTATGTCAGGTAAGGATCACGTATGCCTCTTAATAAGAATAAAAGAATAAATAAACAGCCTGGACTTCCTTTTGTTTGTCGTCTAAATCCATCTCACTGTGGGGAGTTGTTGATGAAGTCCGTCTCCCATCATGCAGTTCTGTTTTTGGTGGACTCTGAGATTTCCTAACCTGTAGCGTTGGTTAATTAGCTCATTGACCTGCTCACCCTCAGCGCTTTTCCAGTAAATGTGTTAAAATTGTTTCATTTGAGTCCCGGACAATCCCCCAATGACATCATGAGCCAAGACTTGGCGAGTGTTTTCAGAAAAATCAGGGAGTCTAATTCTGTCGAGTACAGCTTTAGCCTTCTTATGTCATAAACCCCAAACCTCGGCGTTGGCACGAGTCCGGAGTGATCAGACCTTTTCTGTGGGTCTGTGCTCGGTTATTATTCTGCTAATTTCATCTTTTTTTTTAAACAGTTTCTCTCTTAAAATCCTAATTTTATAATCAAACAACAACCCACTGAAATAATCTCAGTACCTGATTGGACAGCTGGTCGGACATGAGCGCAGATTGTTGTTCTCGGCCCTGAAATTCCTCCTCCGTTATGTAACGTGTTTAGTGATAATCCTGCAATTCGAACAATTCCAACATGAAAACAAACAAGCAAAGCAGACTTGAAGGAGGCCCACAGACCACAGGCCCTCCCTCTGATCACCCTGTTGGCGTTGGTAAAACCATCTCTTCACTCGGGTTCATCAGTTTTAACCTGCATTAGATTCACTTGGTTAGAGGAGAGGAGCTCGCAGTCGCCCACCTCCGTGACCAAAGAGGCTCAATTGTTTAGGAAGAGTGGAGGATTAAGTCAAAAGAGCTTTTTTTTTTTTGAAGAGCTTCTTTCTCCTGATTTGCATCGTAAAAGCTGTGAGACCGTTTCGCCATTGTTGGCTGAGGCCAGGGGCGCAGGTCACCGGGTAAAAGGTTATCAGTGATCGCCAACGCCGCGACCTGTCAGAAGGAGTTAGACACACTTCAGCTTTCACTTCTGGTCAAGTGCATTTTCACACCATGAAGTTATAGAGAGGGAGATACAAGGCTAAGCGTGTTTGTACAGCGGTCTTAACATGTTGACCTAACATGCTTCAATAAAAACCGGATCTCATATCGGCGGTCCCCCCTCCTCAGTCCGGACTGTAAAACCCCTGTGGCCCTCCATGAACTGCAAAGTCAACTCCAACGCCGCTAAAACCCGGGTCAGAGTTTGTCTTTGGTGTTGGTGGTCATTTCCAACATGTCTGCAGACTGTGAGTCTAACTTCGGTTCTGTGTTGAAATGAAGTGTGTGAAGGTAAATCCATTATTCAGACCCTGTTGTCTCTCGATAAAAGCTTATCATGTTGCCTAAGAGGTGTGTGAGAGTCTGTCTCTAACGTGTGCACAACACTGCAGGTTATTGTTCCACCGTACAAAGAGATTAACCACATAGATGTCCCAATTTGAGTCGTGTTGGCGTTGCAGCAGCAGCTCCGGTTTCAGTGCAGATACGACGGTTTGTCCAAATCACTGAAGTCCTCTTTTCTTCTCTTTGTTCTGCTGTACATTTCTCTGGATTTGCTGTATCCACGGTTTTAAATGTCCTTGAGAGAACTCGTAACCAGGCGCAACGCTATGCAGAGCGCGGGCATTTCTCACTTTAGAACAGCCAGCAGTAGTAGACCCGCCAAAGTCCAACCCAAAGGCCGTGATAGATGAATGACAGGTCAGCCTATGGCCATGGCCTTCCAGACATGTTGGTGACGAGCCAAGGGAAACCTTTAAACAGAGAGTGTGAGTCCATAACTCTGGACCTGTGACAGAAAACGGGGTCCACAGGAAGGTCACGGCCGCGTCAGGAGGAGTCCGCTACAGTCTCAGAACAGGAAGCCGTGACAAATGAGGTTCCCCCCCCAGAGATACTGTAAGATAATATAAGATAAAAAGAACTTTATCTCATCTTTTATATTATCTGTATGTTGTTGGTGAAGGATTAAAAGTTTCAATGGATAAAACTTTTACGTTAGCTACAGGGGCTTTTTTTTATCTAAGGTGAACAAACAGTACAGGCCAAAAGTTTGGACACACCTTCTCATTCAATGTCTTTTCTTTATTTTTTTATAAGACTATTTACATTGTAGAATATCACTGAAGGCATCAAAACTATGAATGAACACATGTAGAATTTTGTACTTATAAAAAAGTGTGAAATAACTGAAAACGTGTTTTATATTCTAGTTTTTAAAAAAAGTCACCCTTTGCTCTTGAGGACAGAAGTACTTAGTGACTGACTCTGTTAGTCATGAAGTAACCCTGACAAAGCTCACCTGTGAAGTTAAAACCATTTCATGACTACCTCATGAAGCTCATTGAGAAAACAGCAAAAGTTTGCAGCGCTATCAAAAAAGCAAAGGGTCGCTATTCTGAGGAAACTAAAATATAAAACATGTTTTCAGTTATTTCACACTTTTTTCTTAAGCACATGATTCCTCATGTGTTCATTCATTGTTTTGATGCCTTCACTGAGAATCTACAATTAAAATAGTAATGAGAATAAAGAAAATGCACTGAATGAGAAGGTGTGTCCAAACCTTTGGACTGTACTGTACGTCCTCTTTTACCCGGACCTGTCCTCTTTTTTAGGGGGCCTGTCCGGCTTTGTCTGGGGGAGTTTATAAAATCCTTTTAAAGTCGGGGGTTTGTACGGAAGTTTAGAGTTTGTGTCACGTAAACTTAAGGTCCTTACACACCGGGACAGATGCAAATATAAACCATCGTCAGATGAGAAATCCGACGCTATGACTCTCCACAAGTCGTCCTTCAGGTCGTTGTCTTTGTAATGTTTGTGTCTTTGATCAAAAATCACTCTGTTCTCCGACACGGAAACAATCAGCCGGTCGGCCATGTTGGATATACCGCTGAATCTGACGTCACAACAACACGAAACCTGATTGGTCAGAAAAATAAATGTTGCAATATCTCAGGACGGGAAAACGTCGCTGATGTGAACGCTTGTATTGACAGGATACGGGTTCAAAAGAAATATTGACGTCTGAAATAATCGCACGAAAAAAAACGCTCCCGACATGTAAGGACCTTTACTGAGGTAGAAGTGTGTAAAAAAAAAAAAAAAAAAAAACATTTATCCAACCCGGGAAACCTTCAAAATGAACTTGACTCTGTGACCCCCCGTGGATACTTAATATGTAAGCTAACTGACTGTAATCAGATCGCCTCTTAAGTAAATGCTGCTGAAGCTTTTAGAAAATGTGTCTATGACTCTAATAATGAAACAAAAGGAGTAAAGACCTTAATTTAACTATTTCATATGTTTCATATTGTTAATTTAAGTATCTGAGGTTGTGGAGATCAGACGTCTTGTGGTGAAATCTGTGAAACCAGCAGCCTCAGGAACTAGAGGCACCTCTCATGGACCGTTTTGAACCCGGGATTGTAAAAAAAAAAAAAGGCCTTTGATGCATTTGTTTGTATGCAGGACCACAACCCAGGCTTTGCAGGACAGGAAAGAAAGCTGTTTTCTGACAGACCCAAGCCCAGGCCCCTGGGAGGGTGTGGATTGCGTCTGCATGTGTAGTTTACAGACAGGCTCCAGCAAAGATGCGAAGTGTGACGAACAGGTCGATGGCGTAAGACGCCTCCTGTTGTTGTTGTGTTCCCAGTCATAGAGAGAAACCCTTATCTGTGTTCATGATCATGGTCACTGTTTTTAAATGGTTTGATGTAATGAGGTCAGTATGAAGAATGAAGAGGAACAAGAATGAACGCCAAAAAACATGAAAGCAGCGGACAGAGGCCTCGGCGTGGAGCGGTTAGTTTTATTAGTTTAAGGAGGGTTGAAAACATGAATGAGTGACTCTACAGGGACGGTTTGAGTTGATTTCTGTGTTCACTTAACTGAACATCCAAACACCTCAACATCAACCATGGAGTCCCACAAGGTTCAGGATTTAGCCCACTGTCATTCAGTCTTTACACGCTCCACAGAGATACAACATCTCATCGTTCGTACGCCGATGATCCTCATGGAAAGTGTTTTATACTGGGGTCTGCTGAGTTGTAGGACAGCTTTCTTTATCAGGTTAAATTAGTCTTGCTGTCAGTACGCAGAACTACTTTTCGACAAAGTGAAGATGGGCAGACTTTTAAGATCTCTGTTTCTCAAAATGAAGTTAACATGACCTGATTTATGAAGTGGACAGTGTGATCGTGTCCAAGCTCACCCTCTTACGGTGGTTCAGGGTCTACGTTTGAGTCTTGAAAGCTTGAAGACCCTTTAAGGTGTGGAAATAACACGACAAACACTTCAGATAACTGGAGCGAAGCTTTGATACTGGTCTATTGTCTGGTTCATGCTGCAGACCAGTACACTTGAATCTCAAATGTAATGATCAATAATGGATTGGTTGATCATTACACCTTTACTACCTGTTTCCTCTTATTAGAAGGACCAACCAACAGTCGCCTCATTCAGCTGCTGAGGACACTGTCATGTCGGTTAAGTTTCCTTTTACTTCTGTTCATTCATCGGTTCAGTTTCGTTTACTTTTGCACATCCATGTTTTGTTTCATGTCACGTATTTCCTCTTTTACTTTGTAGTTCTCTAACTCTTGGTTCTGTCCTCTAGATTTGTTCCTGTCTGGTCTGTCTCGTCCCCGCCTGATTGTGTCTCCCCACCTGTTTCCCATCACCCTCATCACCTCTTGTATTTAACCTTGTGTGTCTCACCAGTTCGTTGCACTTCTTGTCTCTTGTCTCTTTCCCTTTACTACCTTTGCCTGATCTTCATTAAACCCTGTCTGTTTGACTAACTGAATTATTGTTGTGTCTTTCTTTCTGTGTTTTGGTTCACGATAGAAATCCTCTCTGCAAGAAAGGGTTAAGTATATTTACTAGAGAAATAAATAGATGTTCTTTATGTGGAACATACTATTAAATGTTTGTTCTCTTCCATGGATCATCAAACAGTTTGTTCTCTCAGTACTGCACCGCCCACAGCGACCTACCTAAATGCCAACAGGGTGAAATAAAAATACAGGCGACTGTCTTGGGAGGAGTCACAATGTCTCACTATCTTCACTTTCTCCTTCCACACATGAAGATACCATGAAAATCTGCTCAATACCAATTATTAATTGGGTTTCTGTGTTACTTTACGTCTCAAAAATGTTAAAAGTCAATATTTTTTGTACATTAAAATCCTTTTAAGCACGGCCAAGTCCACACCGACACTCATGAGTGGATGTGTCATTGCTTGGCTCTTCAGGCGAGTCTCCTAGAGTCTCATTCTGGGAAAGTTGCCGGTCATGTTTCGGACACAAAGATTTGAGGATACGCCCCAAACTAAAACCTGTATCAGGACTTCTTTTATATAATCCTAACTATAAAATTATTGGACGTAGATTCTCACAGCTGATCTGTTTTATGAGGCGAAGGCAGGGTGTGGATAACTGGTCTTACAGGAGGAACATACCCGGGATTCATTTTAAAAGTCACTTGGATAAAACGCCGAGCTCCCACAGCTCAGCCAACGCGTTCTGAGAAGAGTATTAACCACACAAAGGCTGTTGACGGACGCCGGCCTGTGGGAATAACATGGGGGGGGGGGGGGGGGGTCTGCGTGCATGAGGGGACAGGCCTGGTCCGGACTCTCATTGTTATCAGGAGAACTTGAGCTGCCAGTTGACTCAAGTGAAAATTAGCACAGAGAGAGGTGCTGCAGCGGGGCATGGGAGGTCAACATAGGCGGGCAGTGTGGGGGGGCTCCCAGCGAATCATCAACAAGCACCAGACAAACAACAATATACTGTATATATCTATGCACGTATATATGTAATCTTTTTATATCAGTATGGAGGATAGTGGACGTGACAGAACAATGACAAACCAAAGGTGTAGACAGGAAGTCCTCAGATGGTGGTGGGCCGATCAGGGGGCTCTTCCAGGTCATTTTTGGGGGTCCCTGTTCTCTCTATCTTAGGTAAGGTAGCTGCAGACTGAAAATTCTGGTTCACAGGAGACTTTCTGGAGGTTTTCCTGGAACAGTGAACCGGGAGGAGACCCAACATGAAGTCCAGAACATTGTGGAGGGATCAGACTTCCCATCTGGCTCTGCAGTTCCTGAGGACTCCCCAAGGAGGGGCTGGAGGAGAGAGAGATGTTTGAAGGGGGTCTGATCAATCTGCTGCCACCGTGATCAAGACTATGATGAATGGATGAAAATAAAGATGGATGGATGAGTGAATGATGGAGGCATAGATGGGTGAATGGGAGGAGTAATGGGGGGAATGAAAGATAGATGGTACACAGACAATGGGATGAGTGGATCAATGAATAAATGAATGGATGGATGGATGGATGGATGAGTGGATGGATGAGTGGATTAAAAGATGGATAGATAGATGGTTGGGTGGTTGGTTGAAGGGATTAGATTGAATGAACAGATGGGTGAATGGATGGATTAATGGATGGATGAACAGTAGGACAGTGAGTAAACAGAAGGATGAATGGATGGATGGATTGGGTGAACATATAGATGGAGGGGTGGATGGATGTATCAAGAGATGGAAGGATGAAACAAGTCAAAATGTACAGATGAGTGGATTATTGGTTAAATGGATGGATGGATGGATGGATGGATGGATGGATGGATGGATGGAAGAATGAAACAAGTCAAAATGTACAGAGGGATGGATGGATAGTTGGATGGACGGATGGATGGATGGATGTTATAATTAAAGGGATGCACTGATTGGACAAATGGTCTTTGTGTAGAATACCTGTTTGTTGGATGATGATCCGTCTTTATTTATTGGTCGTCTCCATAGTTACTGAGTTAGTTAGTTAGTTTCTATAGTTACGTCGACCACGCCAGCATGAGAGAGGAATCATTTAAAGGCATCAGGCCCATTTCCCACACTGTGAATGAAACCTTGTGCTGCCTGTCCCTTTAAGAACATGTTTGGCTCCATTCCTGGAAATAATGAATCCAAAAGGATTCCTCTGTTGACGAGGAAAACACTTTTCCAAACAAGACGGCAGGACGTCTTAAATAACGCAGAGAGTTTCCAAGAGTTAATGATTTTTGGATTTTTGTTTTTACACAACAGCTTTGTCCAAAGAGGACAAAAACTTGGACTTCTTGCGACTGGCATCCTGAGCGTTTGATTTAGTGCACAATACCATCCTTCAGAACCGTGGCCCAAGTCTTTGTTCCTGGAAAAATGTCTGTTATTGTTATGGTTGGGCTTTTCAAAGGTTCTTCGTGTTAAAACCAAACAAAAATAAACCGTCCCATCATGTGTCATTCTCCTCCTCCATGCTGTTGTTTGAATGCAGCCGTTCTTCCTCCTCTAATATTACGATTATTTTCTTTCCATTTCAATATCCTTCAGCCGGATACCACCCAAACACCTGCAACAAAAGGCACATGCATCATCTGGAATACTGTGACGTACATGGTGAGTGGACTGTACTTACTGTATTGACTACAATATGAGACCACCCTGATTCTAAGAACCGACCCGACAAATTTCTAGGAAAAGACCAAAGTTTGTGGAGGAAGCAATTTTAACTTGAAATCATAAAACAGACATTTAATAAAACAAGTTAAGTTGATATTCATTCGTTCGTTTATTGTCCACAAGTGTAAATTTGCCTTTAGTACAAAAAAACAGATCAACAGCAACGAGGACAGCAGCAACGGACACACAACAAATACACACAAAACATCTTGGCAGCAAAAGAGGGAGGACAACAGTGACATGTACTGAACATAACAGGCAGATCTAACGGGACAGAGGCCTACGATCATTCAGCGCCCTGATGGCGTGAGCAATGAATGGGTTTTTGAAGAGGTTACGATTTGCCTTAGGTACTTGATAACGTCTGCCTGAACGAAGTCTAACGAACTCACCGTACAGCGGGTGAGAAGGATCGTTTACTATCTTAACAGCTTTTTTCCTCATAACTTCCTTGTAGATTCAGCTGAAGTGTTTCTGTGGCTTCACTCTGAGTTTTGAGGCTCGATTCACTGTTTTCTGCAGCTTACATCTGCCTTTTGTGTTTTAGGTTACCAAACCACATTACCATGTTAAAGGTTCAGATTCCCTCTGTGAGGTTCTCATCGACTGTCTCCATGATGTTCTTACTCACTCCAAAGGAGTTGAGCTTGTGTAATAGATGGAGGCGTTGATCACAAGATCAAGAAATGTGGTCGGTGTTGCTGTCAATAAAGGTACCTAAATATTTAAAACCGTCCTCTACCTCTACAGAGAGGTCCATGATTATAAGAGGCTGCACAGGCTCTTTTTCACAGATGGTAAGCTCCTTTGTTTTTGTCACATTGATCTCCTATTTAGTGGCTCTGAACTGGAGTTCATTTTTAAATGTCAGTGAACCATCATGTTCACTTACATTTACATCTATTTGCATTTTAAAGCTTTGCTAAGAATCATGCAAATGTTTGATTCCCAAAGAGGAAACAGAAACAGATGAAACGAACATAAGCAGATGCTGCTGACTGTGCGGACACTTCTGCTTCAGAGCGAACCTGCTGTTGTGGTTTTTGTTTTGAGTTTACTGAAATAAAAAAACATCCAGCAGATTCAGGTTGGCACTCGACTTTTCCAAAACCTTTCCCTGTGATTGTTTTCCCAAGCTTTCAAAGTCAAGTCCCTAAAATATGAAAGGGAGAAATTGAACAAGTTTAACCCGTTTACCCTCCCTCCTCTCTGAGAGTTCAGCGCTGTGCAAACACTTGCATTTCCCTTTTGTGGTTCCTAATTATTATGTTAGTGTTTTTACATACACTAAGACCGGACACCTCCCCTCAATCACAAACAAAAGCTGCTGCACAGTTTCATTTGGTGGATTTGTTTTTTCAAGCCTTTGCTAACAAACATCCCGATCACAGCGGCGAGGTTAAACAGAGGGCAGACGAAGCCTCATCGTCACGGCGAAAGATCATTAGATCACACATGGGGATGGATTCAATAAGTCATTGTTAGCAGGCTTATAACTGAAGGAGAAACCAGACAGATGGTGCATTCAGGACCATGAGGAGACAGCAGTCGACATGAAATATGACTTATTATCCCGAAGGTTACACGTCATATTTAATTCTGACCTTTATTACGCAAGAAAGACCGATTTTTTTTTTTTTATAGAGGCCCGACCGAGACAGCACAAAAGATTTTTTACATAAAATAACCAGCAGTAGAAACAGGAGATGGAAATATTAAGGGATAGTCAACATTCAACATTTATAGCTAATAAGTCTGAGCCCAATAGTCTTGTTCAGACTGTTATGGTGCTTTTAACAGAGTCGGCAGTAAGTATGTAAAGACTTCTGGTCCAGGCATCCTTTTGTTGTGTACCATCTTTATTTTTACAGTTGAACTAACCACAACAAAAGAGACAGTAAAGAGAAAAAAGAAGACACCACATTATTAGCCACACTTGTTGTAGTATTTGAGAGAAACTAGGCTGAGGTCAGATAGTCTTCTGTGACAGCCTCCATATTCTGAGTCCTCTGTTTTCCACAGTGGACTTTTTCTGCACGCATGCACACCAAGGAGGCCTCTGCCTAAAAGCACAACGTATTATCCCAGATTTTCTATCTTTATGTAAAATCCGTTAAAAGAGAAAAACATCATGTTAACAGAGTTCTTCATGTGAATTAAAAGTAAAGAGGACCCAGTATGGATCCCTGTGGGACACCGTTTTGTATGTTTAAAAAGTTAGAAGGCAGTTTTTAACCCGTTAAACCAAAGACAATAACCAGACCATGTACTAAAGAAGGCGATAAACAGTGTTAAAGGTCTTAGACAACAGTATCACTTAAATATAATGGACCCAGATAGAGGCGTGCTCGAGGACGCGTCAACCTACAACAACTTGAAACAGTTCTTAGACAGTTTAGCACCCTCTGTTTCTGTTCTCCAAGTTTTAACAAAGTTATTTATAGTTGATAATTCCATACCTAACATTATATAGATAAAGAATAAATAAAAGAAGTAGGGGCACGGATTTGGCCCAGTTGGATCCAGACTCTATCCTCTCTGTATAACAACATAAAAGCTCCAAAAGTTCAAACTTCAAGAATAAACCAATGGTTTACAGCCAGACTGCAAGAAAATCCCAGGCTTAGTATTCTAAATGTGGATTGAATTAAAGTATTATCCTTTAATGAGTTAATTATGCATTTCAAAATTACGGTAGGCTCCTGCTGAATAGTGTTTGAGTTGATTTCAGGGAAATAATGGTGGGTGTTTGGACAGGATATTAATCTGAATTTGGATTAAAAAAAATCACTATTTTAGCAGATTATCTCGTCATTGATGATTTATCGTTTCAGTGAAATTAAAGGCTAAAATGACAAAAATATCATGGTTTCAACTTCCTCTATGATGCCAGGGTTCTTCTCTGGAAAGACAGATTTTAACTCACCACCTCTCATTGGTTAATTTCACTTTTTCAGGTCAGAGGGGTGATGGGATATATTCTTAAGCCCCGCCCCCTCGGAGTCAGCAGGTGGATGGAGGGTTGGTGGTCGTGTGGCTGAGAAACAATGCGTGAGGTCGTGCCGACAAGCAGTATAGAGCCGAGGGAAAGACCGGAAACTTTGCATCGTACATAGAAGGTAACAAAACTGCTGACTAAACATAAACCAGGAGCCCCCACCACACACACACACACACACACACACACACACACACACACACACACACACACACACACACACACACACACACACACACACACACACAGTGAGAAGATCTGAAGTCAGTATACAGCCTCAGCTCTTGAGATAATGAGATGGGCGAGTTTAGAAAAATTTTGGCAAAAAACGAGGATCAACGAAGGACTGAAGTCACAGTGTCATAAGTCATATTACATGATAGAGAGAATAAATTCATACTTTCATGTGATTGAAGCCTCTGTAGGGAGTTTTTAGCTGGTTATGAAACAGACTTATATTAATAATGATCTCTCTTTATGACCAGAAAATCAAACATCCACTTCTTAATTGTCATTTTTAATGACTGGACCTGCTGTTAAAATAAAGTGTTAGACCAGACAGTGAACGACACCTGTAGAAACAGATATTTTCTACTTTTCCAAAGCAAAAGTAGAAAAGATAAGAAAACAGAGAGGGTTTTTTTTGTCTGTTAGAAAACACTTCTTCTGCACGTACAGAGCAAGTTTGGAAAAGTGGATAGGTGTGTGACTTTGTCCACAAGGGGCGCCAAAATCCACACAAAAAGATCCACAGTAGAGTTTGAAAATAATTATCTGAGGATAAAGTTGTAAGTCTGGATGTTGAGTTGTTTGTTAAACTGGTGCAAAAGTTGAGCCTCAGTCCTTTTTCTTCATATTTAAGCAAAATACTCATCTGTTATCCTCATCCACATCAGCTGTAAACCTACAGCCTACAGGATACACACATGGACTAGAATGACTACATTTAGTCAATGTTGTGACTTTGTTCTCATAATTTTATGATTTTATTCTTGAAATTAGAAATTTACTTTTTACAAGATGGCCACAATATTCTGTTGAAGAGAACTGCTCTGATTTCCCAAAATAAACAAGAAAAATATGTGGATATTTTGACAAAGAAACCAAAATTGGTTTGTCAAGGTAAAACAAACTGTGTTCTGTTAAATAGACAGAGTAGAAAACCACTAAAAAACTGAAATTATCATGGTTAAACAGAGTAAACATAATATATGGGTGCGTACATGTCCTCTCCTGGTATCGTCATGTTTAACCCTAGAACACTTTGACCATGATTTGGTGATTTGACTTGTTTTTAGGTGTTTGTCTGAGTATCAAGGGTCTCTGGGTATCTTCAGCATTTCCTTTGATATCTTTGAAGACATCTTTGTTTCCCTGATTTTCCAAAACCTGCTTTTTCCTACAGACTCGTGTTCACAGAGTGATTTTAGTGATAGAGGATAAAGTAGGTTTGGGTGGATTTGATAGCTGTATGTCGGGAATAAGGTCAGTAGGAGTGGTCCTGGAATTTACACGCTATCTTTATTTAGTGCAGTGGTTATGAATAAGTCGTGATTTTCAAGGGAATTCAGATGGTGATCAGAAATATTTGAGTCAGCTTTTATCATTTTTACTCCAAATCTGACAGATTTAGGTTCTCTCTCCTGCAGCTGAGGACCCTGAGTCTGAACCAGGGAAGACTCACATGACCCAAGAATGGAAGGAAAAGAAACTAAGTTTACAGTTTATATATTATTATTTTTCATGAAGATTTTGTTTGTAGATTACTGCCTAATTTGAGTTATTTTGTTGCATTTTAATACGGTCCCTCATGGCACTTTTGTTCCTCCCTTTGGACATTAAACAGTTAAAAATAAAAAAATAAAACTACTTTAATTTGTCAGGTATTGTCCTGTTTTAAAGTACTTTTTCTTGGGTGTATTATTTCAGGTAAAATCACCTGATAGTGATAGTGATGGTGTTACTAATTCTAGTGATAGTGTTCTAGGGTTAATAATAGCATATTTAGTAGTAGTAGTAGTAGTCGTTTATTCAGTCATGACAACACCAAATATTCTACACAATATTGACATTTCACACAAAATCACTAAATGAAGAATCATGTGTTGAATATTGACTGAAAAGGCAGAAGCAGATTGATTATATAAGTCTATCCTGTGTTGTCGACTTTAGGTTACTGACCTCCAGAAAAGCAAAGAAACCACAACAACAGAGAATTAATCGACTTATCAGCTTCAAAAACAGCTTTACAGACCATTAAAAAACAAAAAAGAATGACATGTTTTTAGATTTATGTCGGCATCATTACAGAATTTGACTCCAGTAACAAAGACACGTCTCCTCTTCAGACCTTTTTGTTCAGTAAATTAACAAACACCTCTGAGATTATACCGACTGTCCTGAAGTGAAAAGAAACTCTGTATTCAGTCAGGGAGCATCTTTGATTTTATAATAAAACAGATCATAACATTTCATAACAGGAGAATTTAGAAAAAGTGTCTCTGTGTGATCATAGTAATCAGTCTTATTGATCATATGTATAGCTCGTTTTTGCAGTTTTATTATTGATTATGGTGGTTTTAAAGGTGGATCCCCACAGTTCCAGCCTAAGAATTCAATACTTTTGCTGATTTTTACAGGACTGAAGTGATTTTGAAATGTTCCCTTTAATGTATTTAATGTGTTTTTAAGAAATATACTTTTCTGTATATTTATGTATTTAGTTTTTCTCAGTAGTCTGACTTTAAGATGTGAATTTCCCTCCCCGGACTGTGTGCATCACCCTCACTCTCCCCCCTCCTCTGTGAAACAAACCCAGTCTCAGTTCGTCATTGGTTCCTTTTGGAGGTTGGGCTTTAGGTCGTCCGTGGGTCCACCTCCATCGTTGCGTCAGCTGCATTATATTTACCGAAACACTGAAGCTCACGTCCCGAGGAAGCTTTTCCAAAGAGCTGGACAGGAGCGAGAGAAAAACACTCATATCCAGGAAAACTTTACACATCTGCGCAAAGTTCTGATCCAAACTCTGGGACATCCAGGAGAGAGGACCAGAACTCCAACTACAGCTGAGAGAGACACACACAGAGAAGACTCGTCAAACCTCTCTGTCTGACTAAAAACTGAAAACTTCTTTTAACGGAACAAACCTCGAAATGAGTGAGTGCTAGGATCTGTGAGACCCCGAGGAAGTTCTTCAAGTTTGACCCAAAAAGACAAAGACAAGGACTCTTGATAAGATCGAGAAGACCCTGAAGACACAGCCATGGACACGGGAAAGGTATTTACATTTTTCAGTCTCTTTATTTCTGCACAGAGTGTGAAAATAATCCTGTCAGACCGGTTCTCTGCGCTGTCAGTGAGTCCTGGAGAAAACGGGTTCAGCGGGTTCAGGTCTAACCATGAGGTCTTCACTGACTCCCATGTGCTGCTATAGAAGCTGATGATGATGTAGACAGGATCTATGTGACCTACTTCTCTGTTTACACTCTAAACTTCTCTCCTCTGCTCTGTTTATAAGCTTAGATGTCATAAATCGTCCATTTTGTGAAGTTTTATGGCGGTTTAACCGACTAAATACTTTACATCTCAGTGGCCAATAACGCAAACCAACCCAAACGAAACCTAACCCATTATTTTCCTGTTTTTATTTAACCTTCCCATCGTTGCGTAATTTTAAACTTTTTCCGGAACATTTTAAATAAATTTGACTTTAAACCCACTTTGACGTCATACGGGTAGGGGTACGGGGATGCTTTGTCACGTCTCGCGCCTTGCTCTCGTGAATAGGGGAGACTGGGGTAAGTTGAGTCACCCACTGTTTCTTGGAATTGGTTAAATAAATTGATCATGTGACCAAATATTGAGGAGATGGTCATCAATTCATGGAGTCTGTGAAGGTTCAAAGCACATGAGTGAAGGGGATAGACATTTATTTACATAAAAAAACATTTTTCACTTTGTAAAGTGAATTCAGTCTGTTATCAATTTGATTAGAATTGTGAAATGGCTGATAAGGCGCCAGAGATTTGGCAATATGAGATGTACTGTCATGGGACTCAAAGACTCGATCGAGTTATTATTGATTATGGACAATAAACGATACTCTCTGTATAACATCTGAAGCATCAACAAAAGCAACAGAGATAATTTGAACACATATATGTGTCTCTCTTTCTCTAATGCCTTGCTCTGAGAGTAAGGTCTTGTTTTATTTTGATACTGTGGATACTGTTAACATGAATATGGGAGACTGGGGTAAGATGAGCCACCTCCTGTTTCTTGTCAATGGTTAAATAAATTGATCATGTGACCAAATATTGAGGAGATGGTCATCAATTCATGGAGTCTGTGAAGGTTTGAAGCACATGGGTGAAGGGGTTAGACATTTATTTACAAAAAAAAACATTTTTCCCTCTGTAAAGTGAATTTAGTCTTTAGTCATCAGTTTGATTAGAATTGTGCTCAGACCAAATAAGATCATTGTATCTCTTTAATGCCCGACATCACAAATCAAGGCTTGAAAATTCACATCTTTTTGGAGCTGAAATGTTTATTTTATTTACTACTGAAAACCAAAATAATCAAAATGTCCTTCTATATTTTGAAGACAGTTCTGTTTACACTCACTTTGTTGGTTTGCAGGGATGAACAACATCCTGAAATATCTGCAGAGACACGAGTTAGAGACAAAACTAGGACTGACTTGATGTAGTGATTCCAAATATGAACAATGGATCATCTTATCCCACTCTCCCCTACTGTAGGGGATGAGATGAGGTGGTTTGTCACCCACAGTCAAGATGGTCTTCCTGCTAACTGGCTACGTGACTAAAGTTTGGCAGAGTTATTAATAGCTGCTGCTTTTAAGAGCCTCTTAGGGAGGGAGGCACGCTGATACCAGTGGAAGAATCTGAATACATATCCGAACAGTGAAATAACATCCAGTAACACATGAATAATGTTAGATCAGCTGTCAGGACCAGGACAGAAACGTTATACTCTGTGAATATGTTTGCTAACAGGTCGTTTACTGTCGCTTTAAAATGAACATTATGAACATTTCATTTTATCTCCAGTGATTGATCTTTCATCCTTCCTACGATCTAATCAATAACTGATCATTTACACACAAGACATCCTCTGACTTCACATTGTGTCTTAGTTTTGGACTGTGATGCTCCTTGTTCTGGGAGCAAACATGACTTATCAGTGTCTGATACTGCTGTCTCTGTGCTCACAGTTACACAGCAGACGTTCGGCCGAGTCTGCCGCCTCCTTCTCTTTTATTAAAGCTGGTAAAGTTCGACTCAGCGGGGGAATAATGTTCTCCCTCTGCTGCTGTGTTTCTTTTCCATTTCTCATGCCTCATGCTGACTTTGATGATGATACCAAAGTGACACTGCGGTGGACCTTCAGCTGGACGGGTTCTCTGAGGACGTGATGGGAATGGTGTCCGTTGTTCCTTTTCATGCAGATTCAGTAGATTTCCAGAGAGAGTGAAACTCTACCGAGGGAATACACAGTCCCCGACACCGGGGTGTTAAAGCCTCCCTTCCCAGGCTGCTGCTGCTGCTGCTGCTGCACGCACTCCTCTGTGTTTTGTTGCTTCCTGCAGCGTTCAGCCTCTTTTTTAGTGTTTGTAGTCAAACAGTTGTTGAGGAGAATGAACTCGTCTGGATTTTCATACCTGGATTTAATATGAAGTTATCTGCTGAGTTATGTACGGTTTAAATAAAGTCTGGTTAGTGAGGCGGTTGACTCCAGTTAACATGAAAGTGACACTTATGGGAAGTGCTTTCGCTATTGTTTGACTTCCAGCGAAGTGACACAGATTCAGAGACGTGTAAATGATGCTCTGATTAAAAACCGCCTAAACAACTACCTGCTCCGTTCATTTGACCTGTTTTTGTCATCGACCTGCGGGCTCTGCAGTCTGCAGGTTACCATGGGAAACCTTTTTTATTTTTACATTTTCATATTAATATACTACAAATGCAGTTAGTCCTCTGTGTTTGTAAGTCAGGAGAGGTCGACTGATTATCCTCATGAGCCTGAATCAGTATTTTATTCTCCTCGTCACCGATAAAAGAAATTAAATAATTTAGAAGATGTTTAATCTTCGCTTCTTTTCTGGTGTTTGTTTCCCTCTATGTCTGTTTTTTTGTCCTGCTATCTGATTGGCTATAAACCGTGCAACTGCGCCACTTTTTCGGTAAACGCGTCATTCCTGTATAAGACGTTAAAAGTTTTTTAGTTTTAAATTTTTGTTAAAAGCTTTTAAAGAAAATCTTGTGTTTTAGTTAAAAATATTTCAAGGTCTGAATCCAAACTGGTTCCAAATATCTGTTACTAGTCTTCAAACCACTGATAACCTGTACTGGTATTAGTATCTGTATCATTAATTATTGGTTTCGGTATTGGCCCTGAAGGACTGATATTGGTCGACCTCGACTGGATGGCGTCACCACAAACTACAGGAGTCTTCATAAGCTCTGCTCAGAGTTGGTTTGGGTTTTTGGCCTGTAGGTAGAAACATAGATGTCTCTCTTTGACACCCATAAGATTAGACGATTGGTTGATTGATTAATTATGAAAACTATCAGATAGTTAATTGCAAACAAGGCCTTTGGCTGGTTGTGGATTTGTTCCAGGTAGATGTCAGGAAACACTCCTAAAACCTCTTTAGAGTCGTTTTTTTCTCTACTCTTCCATTTTTCCTCTTTTGTTGCGGCTCTAATCTAATTACGATGCAGTTATTCCCTAATCTGAAAGCTCCTCCATCAAAATATGCGACACTAATCCCGCCTTACTTCACATAGTTAGCCCTCCAAAGAGCTTTACCCCCAACGACAACAAGACGAGGCTTTGTTTGAGTCTCCAAACTCGACTCGCTCTCCTTCATTTCTCAAACAGAAATAAATGAGGTCATGGAGGTCAAGCCTACAGTTGACCCGCTCTGTTTTCAACACAACAGCCTCTAAACACGTTCTTCCTGACAGCACAGGTATTTTGATCGGGCGCCAACAACATGGCACAGACGTTTAATTGCACGGGTTTAATTCTTCGCCATCCGCCGACCCCTGCTCTCCTTAAGACAGTCGGCTCAGTTTCCTTTCATTTCTGCATGACTGTCTCTCTTTCTAATGTCTCGTACTGTAAGTGTCAGCCATGTCTTAATGAGGATTAATGAGGCTTTCGCTGCAAAAGTTGGGATTAGGAGATCGGGGAGGATTTTAATTAAGATGAACAAGACTGCACGTTAAACTCGCTTGTGCGGCGTGCACGGATAAAAAGGATCATGGCGAGCTGGGCTGCGTCTCTGAGTTTGAAATGAGCTCGCTTTAATAAATCAGCACAGACACTCGGAGGGTTTTAACCTTTTGTGTCACCTTCAAACCTCTGATACGACCTCTGGCTTTTTCATCTAACGTGCTGCGGGAAGAACTCGAACTTCCTCGTGTGTTTCTGCACGTTTTTAATCCGAGTTAATTATTTACAGTTTCTGAAATAGAAGTTATATATTATTCAGGCTGCAGTCAGACAAGATCAGTGAGATAACTGAACAGATAAACCCAGGACTGTTTCAAAGCGGATAAATTCCTGTTCATAAACTGATATTTTAAATTCTGGTCACAGAGTCTGGGTGCGGCTTCAGTTAGCAGAGCTAGCACCACCAGTCTTCGGACCGCCCTGCAGGTTAACGGTCAACTGTTTATTTAACTCCTTCGCCACAGTGTCAACAAGCAGAGAGGAGGTGTGCAGGACTCTCGTTGTGAAGCGGCTCAGTTTTCACCACAGCAGCCTGAAGTCGACGCTCCTCTGCAGGTCGACCGTGTCTGAGGGTTTGTGCAGGATTTTATCTCCTCTGTGCGTCTGTCTGGAGTTTTCTGGCACGGAGAGATAAGAAGTCATCATGTGTCTACTGACAGTATGTGGAGCATGAACCGATAAATAAAAAAGCACACATAATAATGATGATCTCCTTCCAGGAGGATGTGGAGTTTTTTATTTTTTTATTGCTTAATCTGCTTTAATGAAAGTTTAATAATAAGGAGTGTTGAGACTCAGCCCCGTGACTTTCTGTTCCTGATTTAGTTTTTAAAAGGAGTTTGAAAAGTGGAGATATTTCCACAAAAACACAGAGTTTGTTCTGAATTATGGTGCTGAATCATATGAAAGCTTATTTCCCTAAAAACTATTATAAAATAACAAACAGCAGATCTGATTTTGACTCTAAAGTCGAGTCTTTATAAGTCGAGAGTTTTCGCTCGCTTTCTTATAACTTGTCAAAACAAAGACGTTGTTGATGATGTTGAAGAGTAAAAATGTCTGTAAATGAAGCAAAGATCCTCGAGAAGTTCCAGGAATTAATCAAGTAAATTTTGGTTTTAGATAACATTGAATAAGATGTGTATATTTGGGACATTTGACATGAAATGAAGCGTAAAAAGATATTTTGAAGATCAGGGTTTAGATTTGAGTTTTTACGGTGCAGACGTCAGTCAGTCAGTCAGTCAGCTGACTCTCATGCTTGTATGTTTGAGAGATTTCATTCATTCACTAAATTTGAGGATATTTTATAAAAAGCGTCTGTAAAACTTGTGAGGAGGTACAGTTGTACAGTTGTAGAAATAAAAGTCAGAACCATATTTGGATCCAGAACCTCTGCAGAGTGGAGGGACTGGAAAAGAGGGCGGAGCCGAGCGGCGCTGAGGTGAGCACAGGGGACATATTGGATTCCCCACAGCTGTGTAAGCTGACACTGGAGGTTGTGGCGTGAGGAGGGACGTGCCGGTAGCAGCGTAGGCCATCGCCGGTCTGCCACACTCTGGCACCGAGCTGCTGCCCGTCTGTCTGTCTGTCTGTCTGTCTGTCTGAGGGCGGGCCAGTTTTTCTTCTTCTTTTTTTTTTCCAGCTGTAAAATATCTGACCTAATTCTGAGGAAGTTCTGTGGAAGTCCAGCTGTGATGAGTCACTAACTGAGTCCTGATCCAGTGGTAGGAAACTGCTGCTGCTGCTGCCCCCAGGAAAAGATCCATGAAGTTGTGCAAACTCACTCAATGTTTTCTGAAACAAGGAGGGTCTTTGTCTGCTCAGCAGCACCTTCAGGATATTTGTGAATATTTCCTTTTGTCGTCGGCTCCTCTGTTGACTTTTCTTAAACTAAAGAGACACAGAACTGGAGACATGAGGCCGCACATGTGAAGCAGCGAGTACACTGACTGTAATTATCGCTCTTATGTCATTTATAAAACACATGGACTTTAGTCAGAGAGAGTAAAATACTCAACTTTTATAACACTGCAGTGAAACTCTTTCACCATCACATGCTTAAAAACAAGTTTATTTTTTTATTTGGTGGTTTAAAAAAGCACAAAGGCTCATGGGAAACAGATCTGCGGTCATGTTTTCAGTCCAGCTGCTGTGGGTTTGCAGAGAACATCAGTTTAAGACGAGGACGGTGACCTTTTCTGACCTTCTGGAAAACCTTCTAGGTTGGATATATTTTCCTGTAAATACGGCGGTGAAGTTAGTTTTAGGATTAAAGCTACAACAATAAATCCCCATTTCTTTACCCTTTCTCCCAGAATTAGAAAACTCTTCAGTTCTTCACTCAGAGGATCCAGACTTTAAAATCTTCACCTACTGAACACAGACGGTCAGTTTAGAGTCGCTGTGAAGAACCACCCTCAGTTTTCACCTCCTGCCCGTATTTACAGTAAATGTAGGTCATTAACTTTTATTTTGAAGGACTCGCACTTTCAGCTTCCTGTCGCCCTTAAATTTTCTTCGAAGAGGTTAACCACAACATCCTCATGTCTCAGAAGATGTACGTCAGAAACACCCCCGCCCCCCGGGGCCAGCTGACTTCAGAGGTCTGAGGTGGTGGTTTCCTGATGGAGTCTCTGTGTATTCACCATTAATCGATGTAATGAAACCATGAAACATGAACGCTTTAATATGAGAGGGTGAAGGATTCATCACGCGTGTTTGCAGAGGGTTAAAATGACAGATGATGATTTGTTTACATGACTTAAAAAAAAAAAGGAAGAGATGTTGGCGTGACCTGATGTTCACACGAACTTCCTCTTTATTAACACGCCGTCATCAGGTGTTTTCAGTCACTCCGGTCGACGCCGTCACTGTTTACCTGTAAAGAGCAGAAATTTATGTTGCCAAGCAACCAAGTCTGCTATCAACGGTTTTTCGACCGTGTCCTGCAGCAGCGACCAGACCGGACGGGTCACTTTTTAATTTTCACATGCAAAGAAGAGCCGGACGTGTTTGCATAGAGGGAACCATCTGAGTGACTGACTGACCAGTGAGAGTCTGAAACTTTAGAAGGTCGAACAAGTTTTTCTTTAGAACAAAAGATTGAGAGGATCTTTTGTACCAACAGCCATCAGGCTTTATAACTCTTGTGTAAGTAATAGATCATTTTAGAGACATATTATGTGAGACGACAGACATTTGAATTTACCTCCAGGGATCAATAAAGTTCTTCTTATCTTCTTATCTTTAATATAAAGGAAAGTTTTTTTCTTTAGTCTGATAATAAAACCTGATTTTAAAATGATCTTTTAATCATTTTCACAAATCTGGTTCAAAGTTTTACACTCGGAGAATAGAGCAGCTTTTCGGTTTTCATCCACACGTATTTTCCCTAAACTTAGAAAATATTAAATTTTCACTCTAAATGTTTTTACCTGCGTCTCCTGCTAGTCTTTCTAAATGAGCTTTAATGTGACTTTTCCAGATGTTTGGAGAGTGCACATCAAAAACCACCGTGTCTTAATTTACCTCGGAGGAAATCAGATTTTTAGCATTTCTGGAAACAAACACCAACTACTAAATCATTGATTATAAGGACATGTTAAACAAACAGTTTTTAATCCTGTGAACAACAAATATAATTCAATAATCGAAAACAAAGAAAACCAAAACTTGATAAATCAATATCAGGGTGTTTGAGATCGCCTCATGTCCCTGAGGTTGAATTCTGACTCATTAGTTATATGACCCTCTGTTGTTTGACTGTAATCTACTCTTCCTGGAGTGGGATTGTCCAGCCGAGTCATCGTGCGTGAGCAAACACACACACACACACACACAAACACACACACACCCATTTATAACAGTGAACACAAACACAGGAAGCTGCGGCGGAGCGACCCGGGTCCACAGGTGGAGAGTCTGATCTGTGAGGAGGAGGGTTCAGGTTTTTAGAGGAGGATTAAAGTTCCTGATCAGAACATAGTTAGAGAGGGTGTGACTGCAGAGCTTCATTGTTTCCTCTGTCAGGAAGTCATGTGTGTTTTACCGCCGTGTCAGACTCACCTCCCTTTAAAGGACAGGTGGAACGAGACGCACTGAAGAGGCTCGGCTGGTTTTAAGGACTTCCTCAAGTCCTGATCGGGGTTTACAGAGTCTCCAGAACGTTACATAAGTGTGTTTGTCTGAGCTGTATGGGCCTTTACAAACAGAGAGTGTGTGTGTGTGTGTGTGTGTGTGTGTGTGTGTGTGTGTGTGTGTGTGTGTACACTGAGGGAGGTCTGGTGTATTTAGGGTAAAGGTAAAGATGTAACAGAGGAGTGTTTCATTTACACACACACACACACACGTTTGACAACAATATGCAGCTGGATTGGACCCTCCACATGTTTGCTGGTCTCTGCAGTTAATCCCAGGAGGGGGGTCCGGATTGAAACAGACCCCCGCAGAGACTTTTCCCACATGACTCTGTTTCTCTGTTTGCAGCTGGTTTTGGACTCGGACTGTTCTGGTCGGCGTCCACTTTGGCAGCGTGGCTCCTTTAAGAGCCCATCCCACCACTTGGACAAATGTGTGTGTGTGTGTGTGTGTGTGTGTGTACGTCTTATCCCTAAACACTCCAGTTATGGACTTAAAGACCCTCACAACAAGGAAACTCATTGGCTGCAGAGTGCAGGCGTGGTTAAACGTCTCTTTAGCTCTGTCTCCAGAAACCCTGACGTTGTTCAGCTCTCTCTCTCTCTCTCTCTCTCTCTCTCTCTCTCTCTCTCTCTCTCTCTCTCTCTCTCTCTCTCTCTCTCTCTCTCTCTCCTCCTGTCTCTCTTCATCATGCAGGCGAGGTTTTCAGGCCCTCACAAACAGCTCAGTTGTTGAGTTTTGTGTTACCCAGACTACCTCTGTCACCACCAGGAAGGCTGCGATTTAAAAAGAGCCTGCAGCGTTTTGTTGATATTACAGGAAACAGACAGAAATCCTTTCATCGAACCCTGTGGGGTCTGTTTTGTTTTCCTCGTCCTCGTTGAAGGGTTTCAGTGAAAATACCTCTGATCCAACCTCGGGGGGTTTTAATTTAGTCTGAATATGATGGGGGTCCCTTAGACTTAGTGAGACTGAGCGATTAAAACCTTTATTATCCATGTTTTTATTAAAAGATGATCTGAACTAAAAACTAAGAAAACACTTTTTATTTCTCTGGGTTTTGTTTGGCAGTTTAGAGTAAATCACTGTTTGGATTCACTCACATCAACAGGGACTCCATAAAAACCAACAGCAGACGGAGAAACAGAGGAACTGTTTGGTAAATAGACTCAGAGGATTTATCATTTATTTCCTTTAGAAGAGGTCAGAGGAGACTGAAAAAAAGGGTTTAAATATCAGACTCTCACGACCAGAAACTTTAGATTTAATTATAGTTTTTAAAAATGAAGAAATGAGGTTTAAATGGCATCACCGGTCTTTGTATGAGGATGTAAGAATGTTTTAAATGGGCCTTATAGTGATTTGTTGGTGTTTGGAGTCAGCCCCAAGTGGACGCCGGAGGAACTGCACTTCTCCACTCCTGTGTTGGCGTCTCATTTCATAACTACATGATCTTTGTGGTCACAGCTTTGTCTTAATCCCTTTATTCCCGATGATGAAGTGAAAGTTTCTTCTCTCTTTGGGTTAAAAAGTCGTAATTAAAAAAAAGTGACAGATCCGGGTTTTCAAACTCTGTGTCCCGTCAGACCGACATGTTTTATTTCTACTCGTTCTGTTCGTGTGCGATAAAAGCCGCAGAGTCAGAGGTGTTATCTGCTCTTGTTAAGGTCAAGTCTAGAGAGAGTCTAAACATGAATCATCCTGCCGTGACGGTTTATTATGGTGAGATGTGGACAATGATGGAGAAGTCAGTCTGTTTGTGTTGGTCTGGGTTTAGGCTGAAGTACGTGCAGAAACCTGCGTCTTTACAGGGTTAGTTTTTCAAAATAAAAGCACAGTTGATTATATTTTAGCTCCAGGCTGTTTTTTCTGAGACGAGGAAACAGACGGTGATTTTACTCTGTCTCTGTTATTAACTTTTTGGTATGAGGAAAATCTCCGCTGATCTGCTGAGATCAGACACTGACATGTGCCAGACCTGGGTCTGACCTGGGCCCCCTCTAAGAAGCAGGTTTATGAAGTTACCTGAACCTGGAGCCTCCTTAGACCTGATCCCAGTCTTAGTTTGTTGGAGTTCACCACAAAACCACCTTTAAAAACACGTTTCTTCACCTTTATCCTGTTTTTGTTTTGAGTCCGTCTCCTAAAGCGTCTTTTTTAGGCTGTTGTCGATGATATTTAGAGAGTACGTTTATCAGACCTGCTGTAAACAGCTGGAGAGGCTGACTGACCTCAATATTGTTCTTTTTATCAACAGCGACGCTTTATCCTAAAACCTGGCAGCATGTCCCGACTGTAAACCGACTCGTTTCTGTTTCAGCGCCTCTTATTGTCGGAGTGTGAAAGTGATCTTCGTGTTGATCGTGTTTCTTAGCAGCTTCAAATGTTGAACTGGTCGGACTGGTCTCTGTACTGACAGACCCTCTTCTCTTCTTCTTCTTCTTCTCCAGCAGCAGTTGACGCTCCCGCTGATGATGAGCGTAGGAACAGCCGTGATGGGCTCCCTGCAGTTCGGCTACAACACCGGGGTCATCAACGCGCCGCAGACCGTGAGTATAAGTCTGCAAACATCTTCATTCATCCCGCCAAGACGTTTAAACATCAGAGTTTTTTTATTAAACCTTTATTTAACCCGGTAAGAACCCGTTTAGATCCAGATCTCATTCACAAGAGTGACCTGGCCGAGAGCTCTGCAGCAACAATAACAAATAATAATAAAGAAGAAGAAGAAAACGACCTCCGGAAACAGAATTAAAAACACGGACACTGTTCCAGGGTCTCCTAAAGTCTCTCATGTCAGATTATTTCACCTAAAAATCCAGATCTTCACTCCTGAGTGTTTCTTCACCCTGATAACGGCTCCTTCGCTCTCGCTCCACATTAAAGAACAGGACAGGCGCTGCAGGGTGAGGGGTTGAGATAATTTTAGCTGCGTTCAGGTCCATCATGTCCAAGGACATCAGTCTGAACAGACTCCGGGTCTTTGCCCAAACATGGACCTCCTCTGAGCGGGACGGGGGGGACTGAGAAAAACCAGACGGAGGAAATGAAACAAAAAGGTAGACGGAGACCAATTATTCCTGAAACCATCAAAACTAAGAGAGGAGATGCTTTTGTGACCCCCTCTGGACTCAGACCCCCTCTGGACTCAGACCCCCTCTGGACCAGATCCAGTCCAGGTTTCATTAGCAGACAGGTACACCAAAGACGCTCATTTCCTGGGTTTGTCTGCATGGTTATAATTTGGGTAAATAACCTGAGCTGGTCCTGGTCTGAACACACCCTGAGGCCACACAGCTGTCTGCGCTCAGGACACACCTGCGTCACAGTGGGGGCCGAGGCTCCGCCCACTCCTTTTGTTCACCTGCAGAAAACCAAAGGTCTGAATCTGAGGGCGACCGACGGCCACAGCTGCTCTGTAATCATCACACTGTCAGAGCGCACACACACACACACACACACACACACACACACACACACGCTCTGAAGTGAAGGACGCTCTGTTTCATCAGCTGACCGTGAAGAAAAGAGAGTTTAGATTCAGCTCTAATGTTTATTTGGAGTTAGATAACGTTAAAAAAGAGATTCTCTGTTTCTGAACTTTTCATCATCTCAGACTCAGAAGGAAAAGACGAAGTGGTCAGCAGAGTTTCAGGGGGGAGGAGTTTATCAGCGGACTTATGATGAAATCCTCAGAGATTGTGAAACTGAACTACGTTTTATTATTTTAAGAACTGATCCTCGATTTAAGAGACGAACAGATTTAAGAGGCGTACAGATCAGCATGTGAGTTTGTCAGTCAGTTACAAACTTAATGACTCGTTTCCTCTTCTCTTAAACCGTCTCCTTGACAACGGTGACGTTTTTTTATGACCGCCATCATCAAATACAGTGAGTAAGAGAGCGATCACTGTTTCTCAATCACAGTCCTGTATTTGTTTGAAATGAAGTTAAAGCTCCTGTGAGGAACGTTCAGGTTTGGCGCCCCCCTGTGGACAGATCTACATGCTTGAATCGTGTTTCTTCAGCAGGTTAAAACCAAATAAATTCGACTTTCAAAGACGGCATGATGTGAGTTTTTGTCTCGGAGGTCTGGAAACATGTTGGAGGGGCGGCACAAGCTGCGAAAACAAAAGTTCCTCCTGGAGCTTCAAAGACCGTAACACCAAAAATAACCTCTGAGAAGTTCTCCGACTTGTTCCTCAGGCTTTTTCTCGGTCATCATATAAAGTCAGGAGGAGTTTTTAATGTTAGTCTGTTTCAGAATCATCTAAATAAAGTTTTAAATCTCTCGTTTTTTTAGACAAATCCTGAGAAATGAAAGTTTTTTTTCTACAAAAGCTTCGATTACTGAAAGTAGATGTTGTGAAAAAAACCAAACTCACGATGGGAGCGCTTCAGGGTCTTTAAGTTCAGCATTAAAGGGTCTTTCTCATGTCTAAACCTCCACAACACCTCAGCTGTTCACATTTTTGCCCTGAACATGGAAACGACACGTGTTTGTTGGTCTTCATGGAGAGCCTGGTGAGGGGTGGGGGGTGAATATGCGGTCTGCTGCACACAGGACTAGTGTCAACCTGCCCTCTCGGCTTGTTATCCCCTTCTTCTTACACACACGCGGTGAAGTCTGAGGAACCTCACGTGCGAAGGGTCCGACGGCGAGCGTGCCGGACTCTTAATCAGCTCCTAATCCCGGATCAGTTAACGACCTTTTAATGAAGAGGTTATAATTTCACAAATACAACTTTTATGCAGGAACAGTTCTGCAGATAATCAGCAGCACCTCTGGGTGTGACGTCGGCCTGACGGCGTCTATGATTAGATTCTCTCTCTCTCTCGAGGGCCTTCCTTCGCCGCTCGCTCTCGCTCTTTCCTGTCCTCCCTCTCCTGTCTGCTGACTGCTCCACGTAGAAAAACAACATCCTTATTTGGAAGTTTAATCGAGGGGTCATCAGGGATTTGTTTACGTTGGGTCAGCTGTGGGAAGGTCTTTAGTGCTAAAGAGCCGGGATCGAGACTCTCATGAGTTTAAGGATCGAGTTTTTGAAGTTTGTCCTTCCTGAATTCAACAATCGAGGAAATCTAACAAACGTTTAACTGAAGAAAGCGTTACACACTCTCTCTCTCTCTCTCTCTCTCTCTCTCTCTCTCCTGAATCTGCACACACACACACACACACACACACACACACACACACACACACAGAGCTCACCTTGACAGAGCAGCAACATGAATAGAGCGACTGTTTCTTTGTGCGTTCAGAGGCAGCAGCTGGTCTGAGGCTGCAAACAGAAACACAAAATCATTACCTCATTTTTCATAACACTCGTCTCCTTCTTCTTCTCCTTCTTCTCCTTCTTCTCCTTCTTCTCCTTCTCCTTCTTCTCCTTCTTCTCCTTCTTCTCCTCGGTGCTTCTTTCTCATGTCCTACATGTTGTTGGTATTTTTCATCCAGTCTTTGAAAGTAAAATTTATGACTCAGACACCTGCAGGCGTCCTGGCAAGAATAAAACCGACACACGTGAAGAGTCAGGTGGGGGACACAAAAACAAAACAAACCGGGACTTCATCTATAAATAAGTCCTGAGTAGAGCTGGGCGACCCGGGAGTGTTGTGGTTGACATTGATGTGGTCATCTGTTGAGCCTTCATGGTCATTTCTGTCGGGGGTAGCACTCATTTTCTTTGTTTCTCACCAACAGTGCTGTCGGCTTCACCTGTTAAAGTGCTATGGTTGGGTGGAGCTGCTGTCTGGTTGATACTTGGTTCTAATTCAGAACATGATTGGTTCAGACCCGGAGAAACTCCCCTTTTCATTGGCTGTTCGTATAGTCGACCGAAACATGGCAGAATGGCGATTATTGAAAAGGATATTGATCGTGTTTTATTCGATATTGAGGAAAATTAATTGAAATCGTTTTATCGCCCAGCCCTAGTCCTGAGTCTCCCCCTTTACTTCTAAGTCCTCACAATCAGAGCTCAGGTCCAGGTCCCTCTCTGCCCTGATTCTCACACTCAGTCCATGATCCGGGTACGATTACGTGAAGTTGGCGTCCTGCTCGCCATCATGTGAAAAGGGTAAATGTGACAGGATGAAGGTCAGGGGTACAGTACGCCTGTATATGATGACACCCTCGTGATCGCTGCGGGGTCTTGTGAGTGGAAGCTGATCCTGGATCTGACCTGATCTTTACGTGACACTCTATATGGACCCCTCCAGCTGAGCAGCACCCCTGAAATAATGGCCGCCGGCCCGGGGGGGCGAGGGCCCTGCTGAGTGTTTTTTTTCCGCTCACGCCTCGTGGAGCTTCATGTTTCAAAATAAACGAAGAGTGATGTTAGACGATCTCAGAGGCACATGATGGAGCCGCCGGGGCGGCCGCAGAGCTCTGGGATTCACAGACGGGGCGCTGACCTCCATGAATCATAGGAGAGGTGTCGCCGTGACGCACGCGGACACTCGCTCTACTTAACCCTGTCACAGGCTGGCAGGGCGAGTTTGTCAACACGCTGTCATCATGGAAGTGGAGGAACTGAAACCTGACACTTGTCTGCTCGACTGACCGGCTGTTCTGAAGCTGTGGTGATGATACTGTGCTGCCATCCGGTGGTCAGAGCTGGTACAACACTGAGAAGAAGAAGAGGAACATGTTTGTGAAGTTTGAGAAAAACCTGATTTTGTTTTTTCTTGTGGTCCTCCAGGTTATCGAGACCTTCATCAACGACACCTGGAGGGACCGCTACCAGGAGGAGATTACACCGGGCTCGCTCACCGGCATCTGGTCCATCGCCGTTTCCATCTTCTCTGTGGGCGGGATCTTCGGCTCCTTCTCTGTGGGACTCTTCGTGAACCGCTTTGGGAGGTACAGGAACATCATGAGTCTACTATCAGTCACTTTAGAGGTTTTTGGTGTTTGAGGACCAGGTCTGTGATGAGCCTGACAGTCTTCAGGACCCACCAGCTTTGACGTGACCGAAACATAGATCAGTTTAAACCTTTTAAATCAGGTTTTCATGTTTTTTCTTGTTGTTAAATTTGGAGTTTTGTTTTTCCTCAGATGTTAGAAGAGCGTCTAAACATCATAAATAAATCTTCTGACTGTATGACCCTCTCTGTTGACCACAGGAGGAACTCCATGCTCATGGCCAACGTCCTGTCCTTCATCGCCGCTGCTCTGATGGGATTTTCCAAACTCGCCAGCTCCTGGGAGATGCTGATCGCCGGTCGTTTCGTGGTCGGCCTCTACTCCGGCCTCTCCACGGGCTTCGTGCCCATGTACGTCGGCGAGGTTTCACCCACGTCCCTCAGAGGAGCTCTGGGAACTCTCCACCAGCTGGGCATCGTGGTTGGCATCCTCATCGCACAGGTCAGTGAGGAAGAGTGAGGTCAGTCGTCGTCGTTCTTCTAATAAAACATCGCAGACCTGACGGACGTCCGTTTGTCGGTTTCAGGTGTTCGGGTTGGAGGTCATCATGGGGAACGCGGAGCTGTGGCCCCTCCTCCTGGCCTTCATCTTCGTCCCGGCTCTGATTCAGTGCATCCTGCTGCCCCTCTGTCCCGAGAGCCCCCGCTTCCTGCTCATCAACAAGAACGAGGAGAACCGCGCCAAGAACGGTGAGCGGGTCCACCCGGGCCAACCCCGAGGAGCTGAAGCTGTAGGTTACTCCTGAAGAGTTTTTCATCCTTTTCTTCTGCGTGTTTCAGTGCTGAAGAAGCTCAGAGGGACCACAGATGTGAGCGCCGACATGCAGGAGATGAAGGAGGAGAGCCGGCAGATGATGAGGGAGAAGAAGGTCACCATCCCGGAGCTTTTCCGCTCACCTCTCTACCGTCAGCCGCTCCTGGTCGCTGTTATCCTGCAGCTCTCCCAGCAGCTGTCTGGAATCAACGCCGTGAGTGTCCGCACCAAAATATTATCCCAGAGCAGATCTTCAGGAGATCTGATACCTTCTCTGAAGACTTGAAAGAAACACAAACAGAGCGGTCTGCGTGTCGGAGCAGAAAAACAGATCCTGACTTATGTAAGACGGAGACTCACTGTTTCTTTACTCCTCAGGTCTTCTACTACTCCACCAAGATCTTTAAGGATGCAGGAGTCGAGCAGCCCGTTTACGCAACCATCGGCGCCGGAGTGGTGAACACGGCCTTCACCGTGGTGTCGGTAAGCTCCAAGATGGTCACATGACAGAGACGCCGTTTTGTAAAAGCTCCTCTCTCAGAGTTTAGAAACTGTCTCTCTTATTTCTTCTTCTTCTTGTTGTTTTTTCTCCTCTCAGCTGTTCGTGGTCGAGCGAGCCGGTCGTCGGTCTCTGCACATGCTGGGGCTGCTGGGAATGGCGGGATCTGCCATCTTGATGACCATCGCCCTGGCTCTCCTGGTATGATGGTCCAGGTTTTTGGAGATGTCATCTGCTGAAGGTTCATGAACATGTCTGACCTCCTTCTTCTCTTGTCGGGTTCTTGTAGGATCAGGTGAAGTGGATGTCGTATCTGAGCATCGTGGCCATTTTCGCTTTTGTGGCCTTCTTTGAGATCGGACCGGGTCCTATCCCGTGGTTCATCGTGGCCGAGCTCTTCTCGCAGGGACCCAGACCTGCAGCCATCGCTGTCGCTGGTTTCTGTAACTGGACTGCCAACTTCATAGTGGGAATGGGTTTCCAGTACGTGGCGGTGAGTCGTCGGCTTCCTTTTGAGTTTTTCAGAATAAAACTTTATCTTAAAATAAAGTCATTTACTCAGATTCAACATTAAAATTTCACTTGTTTAAAGGAGAGTCTGTTTTTGGAGCTTTAAGGTGGAAAAAGGTCTAAACTGTCCCCCCAGCATGAAGACCCTCCTCTTCTTTCAGAGCTTTATGTTCAGAATAATTGATCACTGATTATTGACCTTAATGAGAGATTGAAAATCATGTCTCCGTCTGCTTCTGCTGGTGTTTTAGTTTGACTGATTTATGAGATGCAGCTCAGATTTTAGACGACACAAAAAAAGTTCAGAAGTTGAGTTTTCTGTCTCTCAGAGGTTAAACCGTCTTTCTTCTTCTTCTTCTCTCTTTTTGCAGGAGCTGTGTAAGGCCTACGTCTTTGTCATCTTCATCGTCCTACTGCTCGGCTTCTTCGTCTTCACCTACTTCAAAGTGCCGGAGACGAAGGGCCGGACGTTCGACGACATCGCCGCCGGCTTCCGTCAGACGAGCGCCGGAGGAGAGAAGCACTCGCCGGAGGAGCTGAACAGCCTGGGCGCCGACTCTCAGCTCTGAGTGACTGTTTATTTTTGTTTTTTTTTATTTACGAACTGTTTCTCAGACAGAGGAAGGATCCAGAAGGGTCTGCTAACTCATGAGTAGACAGATTAGAGTCATTTTCACACTTGTCTCCACATTTCGGGCGTCTTTCCCAAACACAGAGCAGCCGTGTGTGACGTCTTCTGCTGCCCCTCACACACACCAACAGAAACTCCATGGGCACTGTGTCGCCTGGCGGATGTGGACCGGGGAGGAGCCGAGGATAGACGGGGAGGGTTTTTAATATTTGAAGATATTTTCAGAAGGAGAAGGAGAGTCTGCATCAAAAAAAGAAAGAAAGAAAAAAACCTTTTAAACCTTTTTACTGATTTGATCACTGAGCTGTGCTTCTGCTCTGTTCTCTGTAGCCTGTTACAGCACAGTCAGCTGTTTGTCTCTGTCAGTCATACTGTAAAGCTCTAACACTGTAGACTCTCGCACTGTAGATGCTGCACAGACTGTCACCACCAGGTGGTGCACTGCCCTAAAAAAACAGTCCCAGTTCTACCTTTATTTAAAGTCACTGAGTACACAAACTGTGATATGTCTTTAAAGATGCTGTAAGGATTTTAACGTTTTAACTCTCTGTTTATTTGACTTATTTACTCTCGCTGGACTTTATGTTACTCTTCGATTGTTAGGTTTGATATTTCTCTTCCTAAAAGACAAAACTGTTTTTAATGTGTCCAGATAACATGTAAAGTATCAATTAACCATTTTTGTATTTAAATATCATTCCTGCTTCATCGTGGATTTCATGAAATACAACTCCAAATGTCAGGACGCTGTGAAAACTGTCGATAAAAACCGACTTTGATGGTTTGGAAGTCATCCTAATCTGAGGCGACAAAACAAATGTGAGAACTGAACTTTTTATCACAGCTGTTAGAAATCTGATCTTTGCGGCATGTCTTAAAAGCAACTAAAGCGTCGAGTCTGTCCTGAGTGAAAGGTCGACCTCACTGAGAGACTGCGTGGGCGAGCAGATCACCAGATCCAGAACAGAGTGAAACCCTCGTCTAAGGTCCGTGATATCCTGTAAAAACCCTGAAAGAGTCTGAAACCATCTCTGAACAAAAGGCCCCAAACTAAAACTGGACACTAAGGATCTACGTTCTCTCTGCAGGTTCTGACGCACAATTCAGATTTTTTGTTAAATCCGATCTTTTTGTGCGGTCGTTCACATTACAACAACGAATGCGTCCGTGAAGTGACCCTCATGCACACAAAGCACAGATTGATTTCTGCGCCTGTTTGTGTTGTCGAACAATGGTGACGTGAGCTGTACGCGACCTGAGCGTCCACACTGCAGTCACATCGGATACATATCTGATTTATATCCACATACAGAAAAGAGGCCTGGGTCGGATCAGAACCAATCAGAACTGACCTGTTCACACTTAGATGAAAACATCAGATATGAGTCACAGATGGTTAAAACATCAGACCTGACCTGCAGTCTGAACGTAGACTAAGACTCTGCAGCCTCATGACTCTGTAGTGGAAATCACCGCGTAGACTTCAGTCACTTCCTTCATTTTCACAGTCAGCTCATTTTATTTCACAAGATGAAGTTTTTAAACGATTTCAAACCATCAAATTCTGCTTTGATTTGTAGTTTTCACACCTGTCCACCTTTTTCAGGAGTTACTCGTATTTATTGGCATTTTTTTGTACCAGAGTATCTGAAGGAAAACTGACAAGAACTTCTTTACAATCACCAGCCCTAAAGTCTATCTGACGGCACAGACAGGATGTTTGTGATCCGAAGTGCCTGTTCAAAGACCATCCAGCCTCCTGTGCCTCCACATTTTCAGCCTTATCACTTTTCCAGGAGGCGGAGTTTGAGGTCAGATCGCTCTGATCCAGACAGATCGCTGGAATTTTTCTGAATTGAGATCATAAGTGGATCTTTTCAGCGTCTTGTCAGAGCTGTCTGGGTCTTTTCACTCGATTTTAAAGCTGCAGCGCTTCACGCCGTTCCTCTGCGACAACTTCACAGCATCTTCAGAAAATCAGAGAGTAAATAACGGGGACCAAAGCTGCTTTATTTTTTATGGAGGGGGGGGTCATCATCCAGGTCAAAGACACCGTGTCGATCAGCTCCATGAGGGTCCACAGTGAGCTGGACTGATTCTCCTCTGGAGGTTGTTGTTTTGTTTTTGTCTTTCTGCAGTTTTTGTTCTCTCTCTCTCTCTCTCTCTCTCTCTCTCTCTCTCTCTCTCTCTCTCTCTCTCTCTCTCTCTCTCTCTCTCTCTCTCTCTCTCTCTCTCTCTCTCTCTCTCTCTCTCTCCCTCTCCCTCTCTCTCTCTCACTCGTCGATGACTGCTGTATCACTCTGTTCGACTCTTTCTGCTCTTTAAAAACAACATCGTTTAAGGAAAGTTATCTCTCTCTTTAGCGGCACTTTATTCTCCGTCGTTCTTTGTTACTGTTTTATATTTTTTATTTTCCTCACAGTGTGGAAACGTTACTGAGGAGAGACTGAAGTACTGCTGACGGACTACTTGATGTTTTTGTGCGTTTGTTTCATTTATAAATTTTATCGATTACAGCCTTCTATGGAGCACATTTCGGCGCCGTTCGTGGTCTAAAAATGGACCCTGAAATGAAATCCAACACAGCAGTCCAAATCCTGTTTATCATCATTCCATACCTGGTTGTTCATTTTTGTACATACTCGCTCTTTCCTCTCGTTTGAGGCGTCGTGTCACTCATCCTGGAAAAGCACTGTAACACCCACTCTCTGTGCCTTTCGATGGCCTTCACATATCTGCACCAGCAAACACACACACACCAGCGAAATCATGTAACCGCACAGAAGAAGAAGAAAAACACACACACACACACTGACGTCGATTGTGTAACTGTATTTTGAACGTGTACATATCCAGCGGTCTACTGGGGCATTCAGTTTTAATGTTGTCTGTAGCCTTTGAAATCTCTGATGGCACAAGTTTGTGGTTTTAACAACAACAACAACATGATGATGATGATGATGATGTAAATATGACTGGGTCACTCTGGCTTCACTCACTCTAAATGTATAAGATATATATATTTAACTTTTTTAATAGGTGAGTTCATGATTAGGGCGCGTTAAGCTTCCACACCTCTGTTTCTTTATGATTTTATATCTGAAGAGATGTCGTGGCCTAATATCTCTATCTTTAATTTTAATTCAGATTTTGATGAGAAACATTCAGTAGTGTTTTCATGTTAGTGCACAGAGTGTATTTTAATGTTTGTAATAATAAAAGATCTGTGTGTACGGTGTTGGAATGTGAAATATGAAATGTGATGATGGATGTTGTCCCGTGTGGATGTCCACACACGTGTATTAGTGGTTCAATGGCTGAATAAAAGAAATCATACATACAGAGAAAGTGCTTTCAGAGCCTGTTTGTCTCCTCCTCTGCAGTGATGGATTTATTTTGACCACTTGGGGGCAGTAGAGTGAGCTACAAACAGCACTAATGATTTGGTCAACATTCAATCAAGCGTTTACAGGCAGGAAGGGGTTAATCCAAACAGTTAAAGCTACTGTAGGGAGTTTTTGACATCTATGAAATGGACTGAAATTCATAAAATCCAAAACAAATCACACTGAATATGACATGATTAGTGACTTTTATATCCTAGTTTTTTATTCTTGAAACCTGTACGAGTGGGTAGGTTTTTACGGTGGCTGAGAACTGCCACTGCTGCAAATAAAAAAAGAGTGTAAAAAAAAAGTCACAACAGAAGTTACTGATGCAAAATTAAAAAAAAAGAAACTGAAGACTGGTGCAAATAAAACAAAAATAGGTGCAGATTTAAAAAAAACAAAACAACGGAAGTTAGTGACGAAAAAAAGGCGCTACATGGTCTAACCACATGACACATTGAAAAGTTTACAAAGTTAAATTAAACAATAACCTTTACACTTACTTCTTTTCTTGTCCTCTCTCCGTCGTCTTCTGTGCCTAGATCGTAAAACACCGGTGCATCATCATTATTGGTCCCCGGCAGCTCACTTCCGTTGTGGCTTTTTTTATTTGCGTCCTTTTATTTTTGCATTAAGTAACTTTTTTTTTCCATCGCTACTTTTTTTGCGTCATTAATTTCTGTTGTGGCTTTTTTTTAAATCTGCATTGTTTCTTGTTTTATTTGCAGCAGGCTTCTTTTTTTTTCTTTTTTCTTTGCATAGGTAACTTCTGTTGTGACTGCATTTATTTTCATTCTTCTTTTATTTGCAGCAGTGGCGGCTCTCGGCCACCGTAGGTTTTAGCTAAACCGCTTCAGAAACAGCTGTTTTTACATTTTACACCTTAAATATTCACAACTGCTATATCTGATGGTCAAAAGTCTTCATTACACCTGAAGTAAAGCTGAGGAATAGATTTAAATCATGGGTAATAGTTTTTAATAATCTTGAATCCATCAAAATAACCATAATTATGACTTTTACTGTATGTTGAAGTGGTTCATGTCTGCAGGGTGGCCTGGGCTGGACCCCCAGGCCTCCTGTTCTCTAAGTCCGCCCCTGTCTACACGAGGGAAACGCTGGATTTCCTGTTTTAGAGAGTTTAGTGTCTCAAACCTCAGACAGGATGATAACTAAAGTAACAGAGAGAGTAGTAACCAGAGCGTTTAGCAGTTACTATGGAAACCGAGTGTGTGAATGTCACGTGGTGGTGGGGGGGTCCTCCTCCTCCTCCATTCCGGTTTCACTTCCTGGTTCATCCATCAGGTCAGGAGAACAAGCACACCTGTAACATTAGATAGTTTTTGTTTGTTCTAACATGTCGTGTCCTTTTCCTGGAGGGGCCCGCGGACTGTGGAGCTGCTCTCCTCCGCACAGAGTTTCCCTTTTTACGGGTGGAGAGGGTCTTCAGAGCCCGGCTGGATGATTGCTCGTTTCTGTGGGACAGAAACCGCTTCTCTTCTCGCTCCATCGTGTACTTACATGATCTCCTCCAGTGTCACCCTCCGTGGGTGTGCTCTGTCCTCCGCCGGGAGGTTCCTCTGTCATATCGAGGGTGAGGAACACATCAGTGAATCCACGGCCTGCAGGACTGTCAGGAAAGAGTGTGAGGATCTGAGACACCTGCCGAGAACCTTCGTGGTGTTTCCTGGACACAAACCAGTGAGTGATGAGAGAGGAGTTCAACAGGATTAAAGGTAAATGAGACAGCAAAAAACAACTTCATACGTAAATGATGAAAAACTAAAAACACACAATCATAAAACATCTGCAAAAGGAAAAAATAAGAGTCTTTTTTAATGTGTTTTTAAAGCTGCACTGTTATTTTTGCACCTGCAGCAGATTTGATCAGGATCGTTCAGGTCTTTGCAGATCTGTCCTTGTCTGCAGACGAACCTGTGAAGTAAATAAAACATTAAAAATACCCTCCCTGAGGAAAGCCTGGAAAAATGCTGCCCTCTCTTTGGATGGAGTAGAAACACAGTGACCTCTGGATGCCCTCGTAAATAAAACATAATAAAAAAAAAACTATCAGATTCACGGTCACTGGATTAAACAGGAACACAGGCTGTATAGGTAACATAGATTTAATTATCATGCAGTTTCTGTGTTGAGTTAAATTCTTTAAGTCTTTTTTTTTAACTTAAAGGGATATTCCTGTGTAAAATTAATTTAATTAGTTAGACCCCCCCTCCAGAGATGAATGTTGCCGACCGCTTGCTTCTCTAGTTATACCAACTTTAGTAACGACCGCAGGATAGAAATACAGAGAGACACGCCCCCAACCAAAACGCCACTCTATAGCCACAAATAATGCTCAGAACAGCACCTAACTTCAGCGGGGTGACGCTCAAGGATCATGATCTAACAATCATGATTAAATCATAGATGTCTATGTGCAGAAGAAACCTCTGGATATCTAACTGAAGTTTATCTGATGGAGTTTGTTCCTCTGAATGGAGAAGAATATCTACTCTGTTCATAACAAATGAAGACTTAATGCTGCTTTCTATAGTCTACACACAGACTTAAAGAAGGGTCAGTGGAGAGGTAAATATAATAAACATAAAATAGAGATTCAGCTCAGTTAAAAAAACATAATTCAGCCCTCGAGAGCTTTTTAAAGAGAGGAGAATAAAACAGGCGCTGATAAAGGAAACCGTAAAAACACAGAAACAGAGGAGCTGAGGCCGACACAAGATTATCGTTAACATTCACTGTTTAAAGCTCCTGTGAGGAGAGCTGGTTTTAGCGCCCCCCTCTGGACAAAACAGTGCTTGATAACTCTGTCCTTGACACGCTAACCCTAAAAGATCTCAGGTGACGCTTATCCCTCCCGTTCAGGCATTAAAATAATCCCTGAGTAAACACTGATCGTCTTCTCCCTGATGGTCGAGTTTGTTTTTGTCATAAAAAGACGTCAGTGAGAATTTTAGTCGATTATTTCAACATAAAGGCGGAAATGTAAGTAAAGAAATACGATCACTGATCAATTCTGGTCGAGTTTAATGATGAAAATGAGCAAAGTGATCATGGTGCATGTAAAAAGAAGCAGAACAGGAAATCAATAAATAATCAATCAGTAAATAACATGAGTGTTAATGCAGAGGTGATCACAGTGAACATAGAAGAGCTCAGGGGGGGATAAATATTCAACATACTGCATTAAATATTCTGAGTAAGTAAACATGAAGTACTGCATGTATAAAGAGTAAATTAATACATGATCAGCTGTAAAACGTAGACCTATAACAGTAGATGTTCTCATTAAAGCTCTGCATCCTGCTCTTTAACGGTCTCACACAGTCCCTGAAGAATTGATTGGTCATGATTTGCTGACTCATGATAACGGCGCTCTCTGCGTGTAGTTCGGTCTTGACTGTGGTTACAGGACGGCTCCAGTGTCTTGTGGGTTTCTGGCTCGGATAAGTGTCCTCCAGGGAGTCCTTCAGTTGTGTTCTGGCTCAGGACCAGATCCTCTGCCTCTGTCAGAGAATAAAAGCCTCCGTACTTTCCTTCAAACCACGGTTACAGCACATGTGACGGGTTTATGGTGCCGTGTCTCTGGGTCTGCGGGAGGTGAAATGTTACGGCTGCAGCTTTATTTAACCTCACAGAGCTGCTGCTGCTGCTGCTGCTGCAGGTCTTTGACTCTTCATGGTGGGGTCAGTGAGAGAAAATGAGCTGCTGCTAACCTCCACCAATGACCTCCAGATGAACGAGATAAGGTCTATCATCGGCGGAGACATGTGCCACTTCACCTCTGTCCTTCAGCTGTCATTACAGAGGAGGGGTCTGGGTTTAAAAGACACCTGTCAAATAAAAGACCAACAATCTCTTCATTTTAAATCAATTTTAAAGTCGAACTGAAATCGTAAAACAAACAAAAAGAATAAAAGAGAAACGCTCGAGTGAAAACATGATCACACCTCGGCCCACGGCTCTGGAGGATCGTGACGTTTGGAGTCGTTTGTGTGTTTTTTTCTGACTGATCCTGATTCTCCTCCAGTGAGTTTTACGTCATCAATATGAGACAAACGTCACCGTTGTTCAACAACACGAACAGGCGCAGAAAGCAGTTTGTGCTTTGTGGACATGAGGGTCACTTCACGGACGCATTCGTTGTTGTAACGTGAACGACCGCACAAAAAGATCGGATCGAACAAAAAATCCGAATTGTGCGTCAGAACCTGCAGAGTGAACGTAGCCTGAGATAATGGCTGAGTACAGATGAACCAGTTGTTTTAATAAAATCTTCACTGTTTAATTTTTTTTTATTTTCAGCGGGCTTCGTTTTTTTTTCTTTAATGGTTAACTTCCATTGTGGCTGCTTCTTTTTTTTCCATTCTTTTTTATTTGCAGCAGTGGCGTTTCTCGGCCACCGTACTTTTCAAACCATCGGCACCCTTTCACAATAAAACTCTCAACACCTCCACTCTTTCAGCTCTAAGGTTCGACTAAGACTAGATCATAACAGTGAGTCGTTTTTTCAGATACAGAAACCATTTTTAATCTTTGGACTTCATTTTGTTTTTCTTCAGATAAACCGGCGGCTGTTTTCGACTCTCCCTGATCCTCTTTACAGAAACCTTTGACCTCTTTAAACTCCCACAAACGCTGAAAAAGTCTTTTTTTCTTTTTGTACGAATCTAAACACAAACATTTGTCCTAATTATCCGACATTTTTGACCTTTGAACCCTTTGCTAAAAGCGCTTTAACAACAGAATGGAAACAGAATTGAAGTCCTGACCGGTCTGAGTGAATATTAAACGCCTCTCAAGGTCGCCGAGAGCAACACAACAGCTAATGAGATACAGGAGAGGCCCGGGCGACCGCCAGCGTTTGAATCTGTTTGATCGAACCCGGGGCACATGAGCGTTTGTAGCCTGAACAGATAGTGAGACGGCTCCAACCTCCGGGGCGGAACAAAGAAGAGACGGCGGCGTCCACGGCGGGACCCGGAGCACAGGTTTGATATAACACCCCCCCTCCACCTCCTGCTGTTATAAATCTGAACCCCTCCCCCCTCTGCGGCGGCGGTTCAAAGGCACGTTTGCTGTTAAATATAACTGTGACATTGGCGTGTTTCATGTCCTGACTTTATTGATTTCAGCGTGTGGATGACGATCCTCAGAGGGTGAGGCAGATGTTGTACACAAGGTCAGGTGACCCCCATTAAAAAAGCACATTTCTACTGTTTCCAGATATTACAGCTTCATTGGTGCATAACTGAAGTGCAGCTTCTACGCTCTATTGATTTCTACGCTCTCTAATCCTTTAGGTTTCTGAGAACTACGTCCGTGTTTCTCTTCTTTTTTTAAATCAGAGATCGAGGAAAGAGGAGGAAACAGACACAAAAACAGGGAAAGAGGGAGGAAAAGGTTTTGTGTTTAATGGTTGTTTTTTCTTTTTTTTTTTGATTGCCCTCTTGTCTTTTTTTTTCTTATTTTTTTATTTCATAAGTTGTTTTTCTCTCCTCGTGTGTCGAGCCTCGTTGTTGTTGTCGGTGTTTCCTCCCTCCTGTTTGATTGCCCTCCGTTTGTTCCACCTGTGTCTCATTGATTAGGGTTTGATTGTCCCTCTCCGTATTTAGACGCTCTGTTTCTTCTCTGTGACGGTTCGTCGTCTTTAACCCTCCTCAGTTCTCCGTCCGCCTCCTTTTTAGTCTTTTTAAAACCTGTTTTCTGGACTTTCTGTTGGACTTTGTTTTGATTTTAGTTTTTCTTGGACATCTCGCTGACTCTTCCTGTTTTTCACTTTCACATTTTCTCACCTTTTAACCTTAAACACAGAAAATAGTGGAGCACAGTTTATGCCCCAGAGACTGAGCGGCTCTGTTAATTAAAAAGTGCTGCCAGTAGAAAGTCCACCTGGCTTTTTAATACCCAGCATGCTTTGTGCAGTGGAGCAGCTCCTGGTTTCTCTGAGTACCCACTTCTTTATTTTAAGAGTAACACTTAAATAAATCCTCTCATGTTCTGGTTTCATGGTGGGCAGCAGCTCAGTCCCATTTAACCCGTCAGTCAGCTCGCTCCATGTACTTAAATTTTTCCTACTCTCAGTTAAATCAAGTTTATCTGGTTTTATTGTGTTTGAACAGTCAGATTAATTCAGGATCATTTTAGTTTAAAGAAACTCAAACCTACTGAAGTCCAGATCTAGAATCTTCCTTTATCTCTGTTCAAAAATGAAAAGGCTTAAAAATAGAAACTTTCTTTACTGAGTGAAAACTTCACATCTTAACTCATTCAAAACATAACTTAACTGACTTTTTCCTGATTACATCAAGGTGCATTCTGGGTAATGAAGTCCTTTTATCGAACTTAAAGCTTTAGCTGTAAGATGATGCTCTTCCTCCTCTAATGAATAATAAACACGAAACAAATGATGCTCAGTTGAAATCTTTTCTCTTTTAACTTTATATTCAAATAAATTATTAACTCAACAGCTTCTTAAACTTCTAACTTATTCTTGTATTTCTTATCAGTTAGAGTTAAAACACCATATAATGAACATATTATCCATCAGAGCTGCTTGATAATGACAAAAATCATCATCACTGTTGTTTCGGTTGACATTAAGATCACAATAAACATCATTATATGAGATCTGGCATCTGAATTATATGATAAAATCCACTCTGATGATCATTTCAGGTCAGTAGTTTAAGCCTGAATGAAACGATTTTCGTCTGTTTATTGAGATTTTACAAATTAGAAAAACAAAAATATTCTAATTAAAGATTATAGATCGAGTCGAAATACCCCAGAACAGACACCGACACCTGAGTGAAAATATTTTCTCTCTTAAAAAATTCATGTGGTTTCCTGATGAGTGTCAAATATTTTAAAATAATATCAGAAATTTATTTTAAACTTTAATTATAAATTAAAATCACTACATTAATCAGTCCTTTGGTTTTTCAGACACTGACACACAGACACCTGCCCCCGCCTCCTCTGCCTCCTCCTGCTCCTGCTCCTCCTCCTCCTCCTTCCCCTCCTCCTCCTCTCTTTTACTCCTCTCTTTTACTCCCTAAACTTTGTCTCCCTTCGATCATATTTGTGATCTGACTGAGATTAAATCCCCCGGCTGCAGCCTCCTGGTAAACAGGAATATAAAGTCGTAAATCGTTCTCAGACTTTAAAACAATTGAGATGTTTTCTGTTTGCAGCGAGGTTTTCAGATCGATATGAAGCAGCAGCTGATATTTTATACATTCAGTTTCCGCTCTTTGTGTAAAATCCCACAGCATCTACAAACTCGCAGCTGAGAGACAAAACTCTGGAGTGTGGTGGAGGAAGATTTAACTGATGATAAAACTGAGACGGAGATGAGATCAATACGTGAATGCTGATGAGCTCAGATGTATGTGAGCGAGTATCAGTGTTGACAAGAAGTCGATGGAGCAGCGGTTAAAGAAGAGGCCTAGTCACGTCTCATTCGATAAGACAGGGGCGGTACTGTTGATTTAAGGTGTGCAGGAACTCGACCAGAACCAGAACCAGAACCTGATCCTAGTCAAACCAGGAGGGAGAACAAAGACTGCTGTCTTTTATTTTCTCTGGAGGATCTGCTCCTCAGCAGCCTCTGCTAATGGAGCGCTGCTTTCAGGTGAATGAACATCAAACAGGTTGATTCTGACAAGTGGATGTGTACCAGGCGGTCCGTCCCCGGAGAAATAGATGTCAGACAAGAGAGAGGGAGGGAGGGAGAGATGGATGAATCAGGGCAAAGACAGAGGTGTGATTAAGTCTGGAAAGCTCTCTAACAGCGTCAGTGACAGCAGCAGAAGGACTGATAGGAGAAGGATGAGAGGGTGATGGATTTGGGGTCAGTATCCAGACAGGGATCAGGTCTTTGTTTTGTTTTGACAGTGTTGTAGTTCACAGACGTTGGTCCTTAAAATCAGTGAGAAAAAAAAAGTTCAAATAAAGTTTAAACTGGAGAAATTAAAGGAGTTGATTTTCACTCCTTTCACTCCTCCTCAGGGTTTCAGTTTCTTCAGGGGTTAAAAATGAGTAAAGTTACTTAAGAAGCACTTCAACTGTTCCTGATCTTGACAACAACAAAGAGACGACTGTAAGGGCCTGTGTCCACTAACGGCTTCTTTCAGGTTGGGATTACCATAGACTGTATAAACTTTAGACAATTTAGCTCCGCCTTCCGTCATTATACAGATTTGAAGCTGAATCACTCTCTATATTTCCGCTGCGCAGTAGCGTTGTTCGCATTCGGTGGGAGAGTCTCTGTGATGACGCTCGGCTCAAACAGCGTATCCCCCCGGTGAGCTACACAATCTCTGTCCTCCCATAGGCTGTATCAGGTGTCAATCATAGCAAACATGAACCCCCTAATAACTTTTAAAAATGGAGCTGTACAGAAAAAAGAGGACTTGAGCACAAACCAGTCTGACAGTAACTACATGTCAACATCACAACCAGGGGGGAGAAACATTTATATTCTGTGTCATTCATTTATAAAGTTTGTCCACAGCTCCATAAGGAGGCGGGGTTTATGACCTATACTGCAGCCCGTCACCAGAGGGCGCTCTTCTCACAGTGGCTTCACCCAGCAAGGAGGCAGATGGCGTCTATTCTAGATACAGTCTCTGGTCTCCTGGTTTGTGTGTCTTAATGTCCTGAAGATTAAATTTCTTGCCTCTCCACAGACATCAGTTAGCAACACAGAAGGTTAGCTTGGAAGCAGCAGCCCGACGATTGGCTGTAGAGTTTGTTCGATGGCGAGCAGATGTAAACGTGTGTAAACTGGCGGCTGATAAAACAAACAAAAAACAACCTTTTTTTAGATCTGTTCAAAGTGACGATTCTGATTCTGAACTTTCTCACACCCTCAATCACAACCCCAGTTTACGCATACAGAACAAATATTAGTCCTGACATTATCAGCAGGTTTAGACCTTCATGTTATTCTTTAAAAACCAAACGGTGTGTCAGCTGCAGTAGTTGTGTTCAGAAAACAGGATTTCAGCTCTAAAATGTTATCAGCAGACTCAGGCCCTGGTTTGCTTATGTCTGCTGAACCGAGAGGAAAAACAGTGAATGTGCAAAACTACAGAAAGTTATCATACAGTGTTTACAGCGAGTTCAAGAGAGTTCAGCTGAATGTATATAAAAGTGAGAGTCCACCGAGTCCAACAACAAGATCAATTAACTGATCAGAGAAAAGGAGGAGCGAGTCTCTAAAGAGAGTCTGAGAAATCATTACAGATAATGTCACCGGGTTTGTCTCACTGCCAACAATAAGACTCCATTTTTATAATTAAAGCCTGAGCCCCAGATAAGAAGTTTGATGAATGTGGGTATTTAGCAGCAGGCTGGGGTCGGACTGAACACACAGAGGAGTCGTGTTTGCAGGTCCGATCTGGTGATTCTTCTTTTTTACAAACTGAAAAGAAAAAGAGAGAATACAGGAAATCATTAAAGAAGTCTCATTAGAGCATCGTTACACTTCGACAGTATTCTTCTAGCCTGAATGTAAAGTTTTAACTTAGAGCAGCGTTAGTGTTTATGTAGAGTCTCTAAAAATCAGAGATTATGTGGGAATTTAGGAGACAGTTCCTGAGCTGAGCTGACCAGCATTATACGCTCACTTCAACCAGACAACCCTGCTTCACAACAACTTTCACTTTAAAGAGATAAAAAAAAACAGAATAATAAATCCTGATTTAAGAAACTAAAGGTACGAAACCTGAAAACTGAGCTGTCCCAGGATGAAGAAAGAGATCAGAGGAAAGGCGCTCCACGCAGCATCAGCTGAAGTATACATACATATATATATATATATATATATATATATATATTTATATATATATATATGTATGTTTTTTTATTCACATTTTGGGCAATTTTATTTCTGCACCTGTGATTTTATTTGATACATGAATAAAAACCCTGATAAGTGATGAAATTATCTGAAAAACACCAACTGAGGAGAGAAGAAGACGTCGTCTGCATATAAAGAGACACTCGCCTGTTTACTGCAGTTCAGTTTAATGAGCTGAGAACGTCTGACCAGTTCAATAAGATGATGGAGATAAAAGTCCAACTCTGATAGTTTTTAATGATATTTATAACAGATTTACATTTTCCTCCTGATCAATATCCGTCTCTAAATGAAGGACAAAAGGACGGATGCACCGCAGCGTTGGCCTCTCTTCCTGTTGGTGGAGCCGGGCCCTCCTGTTGTGCGTGTTGTCCTTTCTCCTGTGGAGTGTTCATTACCTCGGTGACCCCGGTAATTATGCCAACTCTCCGTACCGCCCTCCTCTCCTCCACCACAGGAGCCGCCTCCACCTGGCTCTGTGCCACCTCCACCTGTGATCCAGGGACGACTCCCAGACTATTTTAGAAGAACTGAAAATTTATGGTGGAAACACTTTGGTTCTATAAATAGTGGAGGTGACATGAAGGTAGAGCAGAAACGAGGTCTTTTAGAGGGCGAAGGAAACGTCGGTGTCGAATTTAACCGTGATCAGTGACGGTAATTTGTTTTCAATCCAAGAGGGAATTTCAGGTCAAAATGAGGACATCCTTTTCATTCTCACGGCTGCATAATTTGTCATAATGAAATTCCTGGAAGTGAGCTTGTGTCTTTTTTTCTCAGGAATGTCATTGTGAGTCAAAACGGTGATTATGCACGAGCACGAGAGCGTGTGTGTGATTCTCAGATGACTCTGGAGTCAGAGCTTCACCCTGAAGAGGAGCGAACTGAGAAGAAGACGAGGAAGATTATTTTAGATCTGAGGAAGTCCATGACTGCGAAACACACACAGTGGAATTTTATGTGCATGTAGAATTTCACTGAACGTGTTTCCCCAGCCTCGTCTGAAGTAGACCAAGAGTTTGTTTTCCCAACATTTCCTTTTAGATATTGTGATAATTATGAATTTCAAAGATATTTATGAGGCGATAAACCGGTCTACAGCGACAGCATCATCACAAATACTCTGACAGTGAAGCCCGAACTCTAATGGACCCAGAAATGTCTGTAAAATATGGAACATTAAAGTAATAATAATGAATGAGTGTGTAAGTGGATATAGCAGAGGCCGTGACTTTACACAAACAGACAGCTCAGGGTGCAAATGTCAGCCGAGCTTAATGTCCTGCAGTTTTATAATTGGAAAATCTGCAAGTTCATTTTTGAGTCATCGTTTTTAGCAAGCTGTGCACAGTCAGAGTTCACACACACACACACGTACACAGGCACACACACACAGCTGATCTTTGTCAGCATTGATAACGGCTCAGACGAGGCGCTGTTTGTTTTAGCGCCGATCCAGGACGGATGGAGGGCAGCACTCAGGGCGCTTTATTCTTCCAGCTGAGCTTGGATTTTTTAGAAGCATATTTATCATCGAGAAAAATCCCCCAGCTGATAGCGTTTCCAATCACTGTGTGTGTTTAAGACTTTGTTATGCTAATTTAGTCCAGATTCCTGCGCCCTCGGGGTCACGCCGCTCATGCTCCAGTGGTTTTAGTCATGATGCAGCTTCGCCCCGATTTCATCCTCCCCCTGACAAGAATCTACAGACCAGGAGCCGAAAAACAAGAAGGAATATCTGTGAAAAAGATTAAAAAAGGAAACATGCGTGTGGTTAGAGCTGATCCCAGTGGGGTTTGTGGGGGCGGGGATTTCCCCAGAGGAGCGGGGTAATTAAGCTGAATCTGCAAAATACATTAATGAAAAGGAAAGACTGATTCAGCTCGCCTGTAAGAACGCACCTCTTCATCTGTTAGAAGTAAACGAAATGTTTCCCCCTCAGCTCCTCCTCTCCCCTCAAGCCCCGCCCACAAACAGACGCTCCTGCTCGCTCGTATCGTTCCAATTAAATTCAGATATAATGCAGATCAATACTTCAGATCATTACAAATGGGGCCCAGTCAAGGTGAAAGTCAAAAGCATTGGTGCTACTGTAGATGCCAACAGACTACCAGCAAACACAATGTTTGCAGGACTTCTACAACGAGGATAAAGTGACATAGTCCAGGACCCGAGGGAGGACAGTTTAGCGATGGCGCTACAACACGCTACAGCAGGTCCGTTTGACAAGAAACACTTCTGTTACAGACACTTGTCTTACTTTGTTAAAGCGATTTACCTGTCCAGCAGAAAGGTTACAGGGTCACCAAGATCCCCAAGCGTCCCCCATCGTTTATGTTGACCCGGCTTTTTAGCTCTTGTCCGGTCTACCTCCGTTTTAAGCGCCCGTTATTCCTCCAGAGTCTCCGGTATTTACTTTGTTTTCTTGCTTGTGTCGGCAGTCGTGGCCAAAGGAGGATTCAGACAATTTTCCGAAACTTCCTGGTTGGTTTCTACTGTCCGATATTGTAGCACGCTAACTTTGTTTGGGCTCCTGAACGACACGGGGGAGCAGCATTTTCTTGTTGACTGTTTTCTTGTTGCCTGTTTAGGTGTTGACTGTTTGTGGTTGACTGTTTTCTTGCTGACTGTTTTCTTGCTGACTGTTTTCTTGTTGACTGTGGTTGACTGTTTTCTTGTTGACTGTTTTCTTGTTTACTGTTTTCTGTTTGACCGGTTTGGTGTTGACTGTTTTCTTGCTGACTGTTTTCTTGTTGACTGTTTTGGTGTTGACTGTTAATGGTTGACTGTTTTCTTGTTGACTGATTATAGTTGACGTTTTCTTGCTGACTGATTATAGTTGATGTTTTCTTGCTGACTGTTTTCTTGCTGACTGTTTTCTTGCTGACTGTTTTCTTGTTGACTGTTTTCTTGCTGACTGTTTTCTTGTTGACTGTTTTCTTGCTGACTGTTTTCTTGCTGACTGTTTTCTTGTTGACTGTTTTCTTGTTGACTGTTTTCTTGTTGACTGTTTTCTTGCTGACTGTTTTCTTGTTGACTGTTTTCTTGCTGACTGTTTTCTTGTTGACTGTTTTCTTGTTGACTGTTTTCTTACTGACTGTTTTTTGTTGACTGTTTTGGTGTTGACCGTTTTCCTGTTGACCGGTTTGGTGTTGACTGTTTATGGTTGACTAATTTTCTTGCTGACTGTTTTCTTGCTGACTGTTTATGTTTGAGTGTTTTCTCGCTTGTGTCGGCAGTCGTGGCCAAAGGAGGATTCAGACAATTTTCCGAACTTTCTGGTTGGTTTCTACTGTCCGATATTGTAGCACGCTAACTTTGTTTGGGCTCCTGAACGACACGGGGGAGCAGCGTCTGCCTCACAACCAATCAGGTTAGAGGAGGTGGAGAACGGCTTTGTTTACAGTCAGAAAGAGCGGACCGCTCAAAAATGTTCAAATGTTGACGACACAGACATCATCAATAACTAATAACTATTGACTGATATTAGAAGATATTTTGTTTATACACCACAAAAAAAGATGCTTCTTTAACAGATTCCTGTCTACAACACCTTTAAAGTTATACTTGTTAAATAATAAACAAGCTGTGCAGTTTCATAATGCACTATAGTTGTAGCGTAGCAGCTCAAACGGGGCACCACAAGGCTCTGTACTGGGACCAGTGTTAAAATGCAGTTTTATGTTTTCTGTGCGTGGAGCAGCTGTGGTACCAGCGCCTCACCTTCCTCGAAATTCACATTTACATATAAAAAGTGTGGATGTCTCAAACGGCCAACAGCAGTCATGTGAGCCAGTTAATGGAAAGAGACAGATCATGTATAATGTTAATTTATGACTCCAATGTCACCTCCAAGAAACACATTAATAACCTCTTTAATGTGAACAGGAGGAGCAGCGTGCTCATGAGAGATACGGTTGGTTTAGAGGCAGACCGACAACACAGTAACGTCCTCGTCGTTTTCCTCCGTTTCATCCTGGTCCGGGTCGCGGGGACAGCAGCTTCAGGAAGGAAGCCAAGACCCTCACCCAAGCCACCTCCACCAGCTCCTCCGGGGGGGATTCCCAGGCCAGGCGAGAGATATAATCCCTCCACCTGGTCCTGGGCCGGCCACGAGGTCTCCTCCCGGTGGGACATGTCTGGAACACCTCTATCTGGAGGCGTCCAGAAGGCGTCCTAACACCTCAGCTGACTCCTCTGGACGTGGAGGAGCAGCGGTTCTCCTCTGAGCTCCTTACCCTATCTCTAAGGCTGAGCCCGGACACCCTGAGGAGGAAACCCATTTCAGCCGCTTGTATCTGCGATCTTGTTCTTTCGGTCATTACCCAAAGTTCATGACCATAGGTGAGGATCGGCACGTAGATCGACCGGTAAATCCAGAGTCTCTCCGTACGGCTCAGCTCTTTCTTCACCACCACTGATCGGTTAAGCATCAGCAAGAGCTGAAGGTCACTGAAGGTCACTGCTCGACGAAGCTAGAAGAACCACATCATCAGCAAAAAGCAGCGACGCGATCCTCTGCCTGCCGAACTGGACACCCTCCACCCCCTGACTGCACCTAGAAATTCTGTCCATAAAGGTTCTGAACAGAACCGGTGGTCTGTAACACAGTAACAGTCAGTTTTAAAGACACACTGATGGACCGGGTCAAGAATTATCTCCATAACTGGTCTATAATTACAGAAAAACAGTCAAAAGTGTCTCTGAAACACTTTCTCTGGATTGAATAAAAACCGTTTTGTCTTCGCTCTGCAGACCGGACCAACCTCTGCTCTGTGGAGGAGACACAAACAGAGACGGCGAGATGTTGAGACGCGGCCTGAGAACATTCGTTTGGTGACTCGGGTAATTATTCTGACACGGCACATCAAGCGTGACAAACTATGACAGCTTGGGAGATTCAGGAGCGACAGTGTGAGCGACATGACAGAGAAATGAACCTCGGAGAAAAAGACAAAGGGAGGAGTGGGACGGACGGACGGACGGACGAGCGTCAGAGGGAGCAGAGCGCCAAACATCAGCAGGGCATCAGTGGGCGAGCGAGCTCCGAGGAGGTGAAGTGGACATAAAAAGGATGAGGAGGCTGCAGCTGATGGGGGAGGGAACAACAGGACATGATGTTCTCCAGTAAAAGAAATTATGATTCATTGAAAACACAGCAGGAGGCCCGGCCCACCTCCACAGCTCGGTACTTTTATCTGATGTCAGAACAGATCTGACACCAACATGTGCTCTGAATTCTTCTGTAGGTTACGCCTCGACCACGTCTGTTCCACAGATCGTCATCCTGCTGTTTCCTTTGTTGAAGATTTTCTCTTTATGTTTCTACATCAAACCATCAAAACACTAAATCTGCTGTCCTGACCGTCTGCAGACCTGAACAGCAAAGATTTTACCCACCGATGTCTGAACCTCTTCTTCTGTAACCTTCAGTTTTAGTCTCCATCTTTGTTTCACTTCTCCACCCCTTTGTAGGTCTCGATGGAGGCAGGTTCCCGTGGTAACAACCTCCGAAACCCCAACCCTGTTCAGTCCTGTACCGAACTCTAAATGGGACGATACTGTCGTGGTTTCTTCACCGTCCTCAATGACAAACTGTACATACTGTACAAACGCAGCGACATGCAGCAGCGCTCACAGAAACCACCGATTTATTCTCTCAGCTGCTGCTATTTTCCCTTTTTTTTGGAAATGAGGAGAGAGAGAGAGAGAGAGAGAGAGAGACAAGGTTGAGAATCTGAAAACCACCCCTGAGGTTAGTCAATCTTTGTCTGCGTCAGTCACAGGAGAGAAACTGAGCCTGAGAAACGGCGGGCTGTGGCGAGTCTTACTAATAAGCTATCTCTCCTCCCTGGGACTCTGGTGAATACTAATGAGGAGCAGAACTGATTCCCGTTAGGCGGCCTTAACGCCGAGCTGCTGGAGATGTACAGTTGAGTCTTTGTGTCTGCGAGCTGAAAAGCAAATTTGACATTTGAAGGAGGCTGATAGGAAGGAACAAGTACAAGTGTTCCCTGCAGCAGATCCACTTTCTGGAAAAGGATCTAAGGTCAGACGGATTTAGAGCCTTCTGTTTTTACACAGACTGCTCGGATGCTGTTTAACACCTCTCAGCTAAGTTGTGTGGGCCTGCAGCACCAGTGTGTGTGTCTGTATGTGTGTGTTTGTCTCGTGGATGTGCAAGTAAAAGGCATGTGCAGTTTGTGCAGCGAGTGTTCCTGGAAGAAAATATCGATTTGAGCCGCCGCTGCCGCGCTGTCTTTTGTTCCTTCCTTTCTTTTCTTCCAAAGTTAAAATGAACAAACAAATCGATGTGCAGCTTCAACATAAAGAGGAGAAAATAAACTCTCAGCTGTTTTTTATTTTGGTGTCCAATCTTCACACCTCTGATTATACGGACGCTGCTCCTGTAAAAACTCCGACAGAGAGGAGGAGGAGGAGGAGGAGGAGGAGGAGTCCATTTAGGGTTTAGTGGAGGAGAGAGCGCTCTTCATTCACGCTCTTATGGAGGTCTGAGTCGGTGCACTGCAGAGCAGGATGGAGGCATGTGTGTGTGTGTGTGTGTGTGTGTGTGTGTGGACATTAATAATTCAGCAGCTTCTCCACAGTGAGTCCTGGATTCCCATCCTCCACCCGTCTCAGAGGACCCACAGCAGGCTCTGCACGCACCAGGAAAAAGACCACATGGGGGTCTGTCGGGGAATTCAGCTTCACCCGGGGACCGTCACCATGATGGAGAGGGAAAAGCTGCCCGAACTTGACCTCTGACCTTGTGCAGAGTGTAGTTAACATTGAGATGAATGTGGAGGAGAAGTGTGCGAGGTCTTGGTGTGAGAAACCTGCAGAGAGTGAAAACATCAGTGAGATCTGACAGAGAGGGAAACTGATGATGATCCAGAAACATCCTGAGAGGAGACGAGGAAACTCTTTATTTATCTTTAGTGTTTGGATTATTACAGAGCTGCTCAATTTCCTGACCACATAATTAACCCACAAACCACACGGACACACACACACACACACACACACTCACACACCGATGTTATTTGCACCTCCTCTTTACTGCAGGAACTCCAACAGAAAGTTGTAATTAAGCAGAGATGTCATCTCAATCGATTGTTTCCTGTTTAATGAGTGTGTGTGTGTCTGTGTGTGTCTGCGTGCGCCAAAGTGTCTCAGATGTATAGAAACACAGATACATATGCATACATGTGTTTTCATTTACATTTGTGTGGGAGAGAGGAGGAGGAGGAGGAGGAGGAGGAGGAGGAGGATCCACGATCATCTGTTTGTTTGTCAGGATGAGCGGTCGGCCTGCGTGAACACGGTCATGTTTGCTAATGAACCTGAAGTGAAAACAGACGTTTGTGAGTTTTAATAGATTATTGAAATCAGGTTTGATTATACGAGCAGTTTCAGGCTCTGAAGGTCAGAGTGAGAGCTCTCAGTATTCACACATGAACTCAGCGACGAAGACGACGTTAAAGCTCCTGTGAGGAACTTTTGGACAAATCTGTCTGTTTACCTTCATCTCCACATGCCGAGGAAGTGTTTATGGACCAAACTCTCAACATTTATTGTAGATATTTTAAGTGTTGGTCGTAAAAAAAGGGCTGTTTCTTCAGTCGCCATGTTGTCACCTACCCCCTCAGGCATTAAAAAGTGTGTTTTAAACAATCATACATCTTCTTTTCTGGGGTCTGTCCGGCCTTGTCCGGGGGAGTTTATAAAATCCTTCAAACGTCCACAGGTTTTGTGTGGAAGTTTTGAGTTTGTGTCGCGTGGACTAACTGAGTTAGAAGGGAGTAAAAAACACTCAATCCAACCCGAAAAACCCTCAAAATTAACTATCCGTGACTCCGCCCCCGCGTAGTGGTGTCCTCTTTTTGGGGATTCAGATTATGGTCACCCTAGTCAGTCGTGTTGCTGACGGTCTTGTTTGTTTTTGGAGATCATAAACAGACATTAATGTGGATTTTAGTCTGTTGTAAAAAAGTCCTTCAAATATCTGAAATCTTACTTCTTTATCTAAATCTTATCTTCAAATATGAACGCTCCTTTAAATATAATCGTTTTAATAGTTCTGCAGCATTTCCACAAACACTAACTTGTTCTTTGTTCATCCTGTTTTTCACGAGAGGCTGAAAACCCAGAGAGATCAGATCCTGCTGCTTTACGGTTTTGGACCTTTCAGTCCTTCACTAAAGGAAGCTGTGTCTCGTCTGACCTGTGTTGTCTGAGCGGATCGATTCGTCCTGTGGTACATGTGTGATGGATGGACCCTCACAAATAATCCACCCTGATAGATGAACCTATTGACTTGACACACACGTGTGTGTCTGCTCTTCCAAGAACGCGGGGAACAAAGCGAGCGCTGCAGAAATCAGGAGCAGATTAACCGAAGCAGCAACAACAAATTATCTTTGTTTTTGTTGTTTTCATGTTTTTGCAGAAATCCACACAGATGGAGGTTCACTAAAGTCAGACTGAGATCAACATGATTTCTGTGCAAACATCTATAATCTGATTCAAGACTAGACCGGGTTAAAGTGTCCTCTGTTACAGTTTCAGGGTCTCTAGGTGAACAGACACTAACACACACATGCACACACACACAGACTTATTTTCCCTGCAGACACACATGCACACCTTCCTGACCCCCACATCCACACACTCCTCCTCCTCCTCCCTTGCTTCTCCTCCTCCACAGTTTTCAATCATTCGGGGTGTTGGGTACAGCAGCTCTCTCTTCTCTCATAGGCGGCCAACAGTAATGCTCCGGCTTATTACACCAGCGCTGAGATTAAACTGGGTTATATTGATCCCAGGCTCAATGGAGCTTGCGGCACAAACCATCAGACACAGATCATTCAGCTGTTTCAGAAAAGAGGAGGAGGAGGAGGAGGAGGAGGAGGAAGGTGGTTCTTGTTCTTCTTTAGCTCTGCAGACGAGTGGAGATAACAGGTCTGAGAAAAAGCTTCGACATGAGGAGAGAGAGCAGAAACGTTTTTTAACTTTACTCCCTTTGGATGAACACGTCCTCCAGCAACACTGATTAAAATTTCACCTGAGAGTGAAACACGCAGCGGAGCAGATAAACCCCCACCTCTCTGTGTTTTCATCGCCGTGTTCTGCCCTGAGCGTGTTATTGACTGATAGTACCGTGGTGTTTTCAGAAGATCACACCTCCAACAGGATTTCTCGGCTCCCTTTTGTTGTTCGCCATCCGTCCTGAAGAGCGTCCGCCTCATGTCAGGGTCACGCCGAGCAGCTCAAATCAAAGCGCCGCCACACAAATCAATTTACACACGAATATACGGACTCATTCTGAATCATGGAGTCTCTCAGTGAAGCTTTAGTCGTCAGGTCAGCGTGGAACATGAAATAAAACTGAAACTGAGAAAAGAGAAAAACAGGAAACCAACAAATCTGAATATATATACAGACCTACTGTGGGTTTACTGCAGTGAGGTTGTTGACCAGACGTCCTCTTTTACCCGGAGGACATGTCCTCTTTATTGGGGTCTGTCCGGCCTTGTCTGGGGGAGTTAATGAAATCCTTCAAATAACCTGATCTGACCCGTAAAACTCTTAAAATTTACTACATGTGACTCCATGACTCCGCCCCAGCGTAGTTGTGTAATTCAGAATATGGTCTGTGGGTGGAGCTAACCTGTCAGTCAGGTCGTTTACAGTCACAGTTTGATCAGACTAACCTCATAATTCGTCTTTTTCTCTCCTCGTCCTCTTTTACATGCCACTGAGAAACCTGAATTATTGACGTGAACGTGTCCTCCTCCCCAACACTAGGGGGCGATATGAGTCTTTTCAGCGGCGCTGTTTCCGACCGCATCCAACCGTCAACAACAACAGCAGGTCGGTGTCAGACGTCAGAAGTGTCTACAACTGCTGCTGGACATTTTGGAGAAACAAGAAGACGGAGCATCGTACAACGCTACTCCTCTACTCTGGGGTTTTGTTACGGGGTTACGGGGGCGTGTCATTGTCCGATCATACTCCGACTACGCTGGTTACATGGGAGAGAAAATCAAATTTCAATCTCATTATCTGGGTGTCTTAATCAGAGTTCTATAGTCGGACTAAAGTGTTTACATGACCTTCAGTTGTCCGGTCTTTATCGGAGTAAGGCGATAGTTCGGTTTTCTACGTACTGACTGATGCAGCAGGGCGGAGCAGCAGGGCGGAGCTCAGGAGGCGTTGAAGCTGAGTCTGCTCTCTCTCTCTCCTGATTGGTCGACTGGTCTTTGTCTTTGTTTGTATTTTCTGTTTCTTTTAAAAATCTACTTTTGGGACTCTGTCGCCACCGTCGAATCTGAATTTGTTTTATTGAATTAATTTTTTAAGTGAATTTCCCTTCGAGGATCAATAAAGTTATTCTTGTTCTTATAGACGGACTTTTTGGTTTTTGTTTAGCGCAGCAGCACGTCTGTCTGTCCGTCTGTCTGTCCGTCTGTCTGTCTGTCGATGAAACAGTCGGCGGCTCATCGTTCAGTCTTCATGATCGTAATTTTAAACTCTCGTTTCCTCCTTCGGTCATTTCCACATTTATGTCTCAAAGTGAGTTTTTAAAACAGAGAGAAAAACTGAAATCACTTGTTTTTTTGTCAAATTTTGACAAACTTCTCCACCTCCAGAGAAGGAAACTTCATACTTACCGATCCGCTGACGAGTTCTCGTTCACAGTCTGAGATGCTTTTACTTCTGCGGTCCCACAGTCTCACGCTGAGACACATTATTCCTGCTCCAGCTCAAACTCTCTCACATTCAGTCATCAGTCTCCCACTCTCATCTGTGACTACAGAGTGACTCACGTTGAGAGGAAGTCAACGGTACGGCACACGCTGGCGTGAACAAGAGGAGAAATGATTCATTAACTTTGGTTTTTGAAATGAAGGACTTTTCATCGCCGCCATGAAACACCCATCATCAAACATGTCATTTCTGACATGACGGCTCTTAACTGGGTTTGTATGAACCAATGAGAGCTCACGCTGAGAAGTCATCACGCTGCCGCTGCTGCTGCTCTCGGCGACGTTTGTAAATCCAGCACATAAAAAATAAAAAACGAGTGTTTGCACGTCCTCTGAGCTCACGCCGCCTCTCAGTGTGAACTACGTCCTCGCTCATGTGGAGAGTCTGTTTATACTGAAGTGTGGACATGATGTCCTCGGGTTCAAAGGAGAGTCGGCCCTGACTGATGAAGAACCATCCCTGTCCTACCTGGAAGAGGATTAGTCTTCATTAGGCCGGACTCTGAGCAGCACACGGCTCTGAATGAGGACGCTGAAATGAGCTGATGGTGGCGCCGAGGTGAGAGACTTCTCCAAATGTGAGCGGAGGTGTGAGGTTTCTGTCAGACAAAGGAGGAGAGGCCGCCTCACAGTCACCTCAAAATCCAATTAAATTTCCACGCTGCTCGAGTTTGGACCTGCGAGTTCGACAAACTTTCACAGTTTAGACAAACCGACTTATTCCGAGTTTTTATCTCAGGTCAGGCTCAAAGTTAAACTCCATCAATTTGGCATAAATCTGATCACATGTGCACGTGCAGCGCCCACTGACTGTCAGAGCATAGATCTGTTCACACTAGAACAAGCTGAATCTGTTAAACACAGTTCTGTTTACTGAGAGCAGAACTGGACCTTCAACATAAACATGTTTACATCTGCAAAACTTCTTTATCTGATAAAATATTTGATGAATCCTCTGTTTATACATAATCAAATAATCCAATCATGACGTGTGTATTCATGCACCGAGCTTTATTCAGATTAGAAACGTTTGGACATGTGCAGAGTTGTCTGATTTCGAAGAAGAGTTGTATTTCATGTCAACAAACCAGGAAACGCCGACGTGGCTCACTGTCCTATTCAGGATTTTCCCCCCCTGTTAAATGTTGTCACTAGAGGGCGCCCTTGCTCACTTATTTTACTGTTCTGTCAAAGGTTGCTCTGTGCGTATGGTTGTGACATCATTAGGCGGTTTGTACGCCTCGTCACGTCATCGGAGGAGCAGACACGACTCCTGTAGAGAGTTAATAACGACACCTCCTGAACTGACCTCCATAAATAAACCAAAAGGTTAAAGAGTGAAGATGGAGTCAGGTGAGAGAGTCACGATCGGATAAACTGTTTACATGGACGCATTTCGGAACAACATCGGCATAAACCACGCCCCTCTGGATCAGAATCTTCCGATCGGGCCTTTATTCCGATTATTCGTGCTCATGAAAAGGCAGCTACTGACCGTCTCCACCAGGAAAAACATGCGACCTCCACCCTCAAACCCACAGACCCGTTTACAGACCTGCACAGACATGGATCTGAGTTGGATTTCCTGAATGTTCGGTGTGTCTGATTCTCATTCTGAAAGGTTAATTGTGTGAACATCGAGGAGGTCAGAGCTGCTGTTCATGTTGCAGTGAGACTGAGAGGAGGTCGCGGCCCTGCAGTGTTTACTGGTGGTTTTCACTCTCAGTGGTATAAATGCATGTTGGAGTGTTTTATTAGTGGATAATAGAGGCGCTGATTGCAGAGTGTTGATTTTATAAGCGGCGGACAGAGCGGGAGGAAATGTTTTCTCTAAACAAACAAGTTTACTCAGAGTCAGAGTGTTTCTTTGTCTTATTTGTTAAAGTTCCCCGTTTACGTTTGCAGTTTTCTTCAAACTAAAACAAAGGTGAATGACTCATCCAGCATTTTGAGCTCATTAAAGTGTGTTTTTTTCCTTCTTGTACTCCAAGGTGATATCCTTTGTGAGGACTGTACGACGTAGATCCTCCTTTAAAAGCTTCTTGTTCTACATGACACTGAACCCAGAAAACATCCTTTCATTATCTCTAAAACGAAATGACATCGCCTCTCGCTGCAGCCGCGTGATGTTGACATTTCCCGGCAAATTTTCCGTCTTTTGTGGAGCCAAGGTCTGAATAATGAATACAGATCTATTAGGCAGCCTTGATGCCCTTCTCCCGACAGGCAGATTGTGTCCTCGCTCGCTCAGCTCGCTCCAAAGCTGCTCTGCAGATTGTTCACCGATTTCACTTCTGTTTGAATACAGTCTCATCCTCACAGGAAGAAAAAAACACTGAGCAGCAAATCATGTCCATACAAAGACGGGAAAATGATGATTATACTGGTGATTATTTAATTGGCTCTGAGTCAGCTGACACGCGACCCTCAGCTCAGTTTTATAAAATAAAAACCATCATGATCACGGCCTTTTCCTTTAAATAACAGTGAGAAATTATGGAAACATCCTGACATTATATCCATGTCTTTCTAATCCAGGGGTGATTTTTTTGTTGAACTTCACTCACCTGACCATCACTGTGATCGAGTCTCCGTCTCCTCAGGTGACATTCATCCACGCCCACGGCCCACACTCTGAATGTCACTCTATGAATTCTGAAATTGAATTTTCCCGGGCCTCAGAAATCTAATAACCTCCCAGCTAATGACAATCCAGTCAGAAGAGACGACTCAGCTGCTTTTGAAGGCTTCAGGTGTTTCCAAAAGTCGATATCCATCGGTGAGACATTTGGGCTCAAAGCAGCTGAACTTTATGAAACATGAATATGATTTAAAACTGGGAGTAACAGCAGCTATGAGACAAACACAGCCTTCTGTACGCTAGTGTACAACATTTATGGACGATGTAGCGCTGACATGCTACATGGAGAAACCAAAGAACTGACAGAAAGTGTAGTTCCCACAGTGGCCACTAGTTTAATGTTGGGATTATAGTATGATATAAAAATATTTAAATTTCTACATTTGCATAAAAAGTTTATTAATTTATTTATTTTATTGAAAATCACTTCTAATGATCAGTGATTGGTTTTATCAATTACTAATAGGAGAGTGAAGGATTAATTTCACAGAAGGGCTCAGTCAGCCTTCTTTAAACCTGCCTTAGCCCCTCCCAGTGGGCGTTACCAATTACATAAGATTAGAAAAAAAACTCATTTATTCACCAGTTTTTACCTTTTTAACCAAGTTATTTACACAAATCAATGGAGCTTTAATTTTTAGGGATCATGACAAACATCAGAGGAATTAATTTTTCTTGCATCATGTGACAACTTTCAGCCTCCATACACACCTACTTAACACCCGGAAATCACGTGCTCTGCTTCCTCGTTTGGATACCTGAACCGGCATGATGGCGGGAATGAATGGACTCACCTTCGGCAGGTAAGTGAAGGGATGAATATCTGTGTGAATGAATGTTTAAGTGAGCTGATAGAGCTCTAAATGTGTAACCTCAGTGACTCTGTGATCCAACAGAGAAGGAGGAAAAGTCGAGCTGTAATGAGAGGGAAATCAGAGACGCTGGAAGGAAATGTTTGGCGCGTGTGTGTGTGCGTGTGTGTGTGTGCGTGTGTGTGGTCAGTGAGGACGCCGCTCCGTCACTTCCGCTAAACGTTAAACTCGCGGTAATATTTCTAATGTTTGTTTTCCGCTCTTGTCCATTTTAAGTATTTCCACAATAACAAAAGTCATTGAACAAATGAAGCGCAGAGGAGCAGGTAGAAGACGAAGCTTATTTTACCTTCTACTCACTCAAAACAGAAATAAACTCTAACATAAGATGGTCTGTCCACTTCAGCTTATTTTACTATAACTTAACAAACAACATTAAAAACACATTAAAGGAAACAAACAAAAGTAAAGTCAGCGTCTGTATCAGAGCCTATATTAAAAGACAGGACTCGTCAGCTTCACATTTTGTTATTATACTGTATGTTTATACCGTCTGTGCTCTTCATCCTCTGAACTGAAATAAACTTCTTCTGCAGGTTTTCTGGGAACATTTTTAGATTAGATTCAACTTTATTGATTGAACACAGAACAAGTACAGGAACAACGAAATGCAGTTTAGCATCGAACCAGAAATGCAAGGTATGTACCTATGGGCAGTGCAGGTATGAACTAAATATACTATATATATATGTGCAATGAATATGTTAAGAATATATACACGGTGTTGGTTCCTGCAGGTATGAATAGACTATACAACAAAAAAATAAAGATCTAATGATGTACATTATCTATAGATACAGTTTACTGATTAGTGCAGGTGTGAAAAAGAGACAATGCTGTTAAACAGAGGGTGTGTTGAAGAATATCAACAGTAAGATATTTAGGAGTGTGAGTATTTTGTATCTTTCCCTGAATATTATTGTGAGTGTCTTTAGTTTAATGAGTTGGTTAAATTTTAATAGCCTTGATTTAACAAACAGCTCTCTAAAGTTTACTTTAGGAATAATTCGTAAAGCTGTTTCCTGTAACATAAATATCAGTTTCAGGTCGCTCATATATGTGTTTACCAAACCTCAACGCAGTCGGTCAAATATGGCAGAATTAAAGAACAATATAAGATCATTACCTTCTCAATTAACACCAACTAAAATATGTTAAAATAGTAAATTTTCCACATTCATTGACAAAAATGCCTGAAGGGATGGAAAGTTGGGATGACCGTTTTAGAAGAGGGATGATTTTGACCATTTTCATTTCAGCGGGGACGCCCTCACGCCCTCATCCCCCCTGACTACACCGGTGCACCTTTATAATTGTATATTTCTGTGTAAAGGTCGGCTGACTGCGTCCCGTCTTTGTGGTAAAGTCTGTTTGGTTAACAGTTTTCCTTCTTCTGGAGAGCCGTGATTTCTAAAGCATTAACTCGAAGCAGCTTCTCCTCGCCGAGCAGGATTGTAAAGCTGGTGAAGTGTGAAGAGGTCAAGGCTCTGGGGTCAAACTGTGAGAGAAAGAAATACGTGTATGTACCTTTCCTTTATTGGCCTCACCATCACGTGACCACACAGGGAGGTTCGCTCTGTCCTTGCTCAAAAACACACACAGTGATCAAGATGATAAATAGTTTTCCCAGCAGAGGTGAGCGAGTCTTCTCTGAACCTTCTGCAGGAGAAGGATCAAGCTGGGGTGACCTGCTGCTGAGGGATACGTTTTGATCCCTGTATGGCCTGTATTGATTTTTCTATGAATAGGATGTGGACCTCAAAAATGTGGGGCTGTGTTAGATCCAACAAGAAAATAAAGACAGAGAGGAGAGAGAAGATAGGGCAGCAGGGAGCGGTGAAGAATACAGAGAAGAAGAAGAGGAGAAAGTCCCGCTGCAAATATCTCTTCTTCTTAGAGACACTGAGCCTTTTAGCGCCGCCACAGTCCATAAAATTCCCCAGGAACTTGGATTCCCTCCACACACAGCGCTGAACTCCATACTCACTGAGGTGTGCCATTAATGAAGACAAGCGGCTCCCAGAGAACTGGTCTGGGATCTGCAGAGAAAACCTCGGGGCCTGATCCAGCAGCAGAGGTGGGACCATCATCTACAGTGATGTTTGGAGTCTGAGGTAACGCAGCTCCTCTCCTCCTCATTAAAATGCATCAAAATAATACTCTTACGCAACAGATGCTGCTGCTGCTGCTGCTGCTGCAGGCTGTTTGGCATGCATTATAGAAGAGACAGTCAACAGAGGATTTCCCTCTCAACTCTTTAGGCTTTAAAACTCATCTTCAAAACACAGAAACCAGCGAACAGGAGGAGCCGGGCTCAGGATGTGGACCGGCACCAGAACCTCTTTCTGTCTGTTTCTTTACGCCTGATCCTGAACAAACTGAAGGACAACTTTGGAAACCAAGACTCTGAAAACGCAGATTTTCTTCATAGATGTTCCTGCATCTTTGTCAGGATTATGGATTTGACTTCCTGATGAAAGGATCCAACGATGAAGATGAACTTCACTGAAGAAGCTGAAGTGGTTCACAGTCAGTCCGTTTCCATGACACTCAAGAAAACCGAATTATCAC